CCCTTTTATTGTAACCTGAAATAAAGGTTTTTAATAAGAAACATAATATATAAATGTAAATCGACGAAAACTATAAGAAATGTAACTAGATATTTAGAGTGTATAAATATACATTTATAAAACATATATTTGAAAACTTTTAAAACAAAAGCTTATTCGAAATTTTGCTTTTCAAGAGTTTACTTAGTTAATTCACTTACCGTTATCGTCGAATATGAATTGAGATGCATATCTTTTTCTTATCAGTGATGATCGTATTAGATATTTTACAGAATGTTCTGTAAAGTTATACATATTACCTAAAAGAAACAATTTCATGAAATTCATTAAAAAAGTTTCGAACGAAAAACAAACTTTTCTTACCTACATAGGTAGTGTTGTGCATTTCTGGGAGCCATTTTCCACATAAAATTCATAATATCTATTTTATTATTTAAGAATCTTACCGAAAACTAAACTGATGATGTGTCAATACTAAAAATGACCAATTTGAACCGCCTAGCAACACAAAAAATGCTTCAATGATACTACGGTTGTGCAACAGAACTTCCATAGATAGATTTATTTATTTCACTTATCACTGTTTTACTCGCACTTGCAACTTCCAACTTGAATTAACAGAACTTATCTAATAAAAACTAGAAACTTCTTACTTCTTTGGATGCACAAACTTAAATGTTTAAGAACTTAAGAACAAAATTCCTACCTACGCTGTAGAAATGATTTAGCAAGAATTATACTGTAATCTGATATTTTGAATGCATTACTTTGTACATTATGAAAAAGTTAGAGATTCTACCCTATAAATAAACTTTAAAAACATAAAAACCGTTAGGGTTATGAGAAAATTTTTATTTATTCGTAATGAAAGTACAGAAACTCAAAATAAGTCTACATTTTTTATTTCTTTTTTCCAGGATCCGGAATGACATCTATACAGTTAACTCTCCATACATGTAACATTTGCAGAAGGAACCGAGAAAAGGAATTTCTTATCGGGGGAATTTTGTTCAAGATTTCGACCTAGATGAAATTTATTATCGAGTGAAATTTCTTATCGAAAGGATGTTATATCGAGATTATACTGTATGTAGGTTTTTCTATTTACTTAAAGTTATTTAAATTCTCTTGTGAAATACGCTTCTTAATAAAGCGGCTCACTAGAATTTGTGGTCTCTTTTGCCACTCCATAATAACATTTTTCATTGTTGAAATCTGCAATAATATTTAAACATTTTAATGATTTTGTTTAAAAAGATGTCAGTTTCATTATATACTTGATCTCCATTGAGTCGATTTAAAAGTGCAACGCAAACTATTGCTGCTTTTATCCCAGCGTAATGTGTCAAAGCCCCAAACATCGATGCTTTAAAATTACAATCAATGAAATATTTCAACATTATGTTATAATAAAAACTCACCTTCCATTTCAATATTCACAACTCCAATTCCGTGCAATTTTTCTAAAAATTCCAATTTGTCAGCTTTTGAGTAGTCACAAAAAGCTCCATCGATGCGGCCTTGTCCTTCATAGAAGTCGTGTGTTCCCATTGTTTTTCCACAAACTGTGTTGTAACCATCTGTCTGAGGATCAGCTAAAGATCTTATTTCATTTGCTAAATCCTTGTCTAACAATATTGGACGATGAACTGTTTTCCCAAGAACCGTCTAATTGCAAAAAAAATATTTTAGTTTGTCTACTTTTCAAGTTATTCTAACTCAACCATTTCAAATTTATCTCGCATTTTATCATCTACTGCACTATCAGAAACAACAACTGTACCGCCTTCAACTCCTACACCTCCGCTTGTTCCAATTCTTATGAATACTGGATCTTTACATTTAGCATAATACATAAGTTTTATGACTTCATGTAATAAAACTCCAAGTGATGCCATTCCAATACCATGATTTATTGACAGCACTGGTCCAACCTTGAAATTTGATTATAGATATTGTACTTGCTCCAAAAACAAAAAAGATTTTTAACCTTATACATGGAGAAACGATGGGAATCAGCGCTAATGTCTTGAAGTTGTGATCCAACCGGTAGTTCGTATCCAATTTCCTTCATAATAAAATCAGCAAAATCTTTCATTCGTTTTGAAGTTCCACCCATGCAAACGAACTTAAGAAAGGTTTTTTATAAATCATTTAACAATAATCAATCTTCTAAACTCACTTTAATATCTCCAAACATTGCTTCAAGATCATGAGTTCCACTTCCAAGTGCAATATGATAAAGAGAATCTTCGCTCATAAACTCGATGTTTGGATTTTTTAACTTCAATGCTCCATCAGCATTCCTTTGAAATATTTATGTTTTCAACATTAATAAATAATCCGAGAAATTCTCACCTTAGCTTAGAATTAGCTTCTTTGCCATTTTGGTATGTTTCATTTCTTTCACGAGAGCGACCGTTTTCTTCATCACCATTTCGATGAAATTGCGATTTTAGAAATCCTGTTGACATTATTCTTAAACTTTGATTCCTACAATTCACGAAGAAGTAGGTAATAATTGAAAAACAATTTTCAATCAAAGAAATGTCTAAGGTCAGGTTATTTGATATTTAAATGTCAGTCAATGGAATGCTTCTAAAAAATATTCCGTCTTATTGACAATTGTTGTTGGACTATGTTCAGCCTGTTCGACCTTGATAATTATCATAAATATTCTATTCATTTAAAAAACCTGATTCTAATTTCAAAAAAGAATGTGAGAAGAGGCTCGTCTCATTTTTTTGAATTTCTTTCTTTTGTGCGTAGTTTTTATAAGTATAGGAAGATAAGTTAAATGTCCACAGGTTGTAAGTTATACATTGTTTCAATAACAAAATAATAAATTCTCTCCCAAAGATTTATGTGAATATTTGATAACAAATTTGTTTAAATTTTCTTACTTCTAGAATTTCAAAAATGTGTAAATAAAGAAAAAAAAATCAACTTTGTCTGTTCAACTTGACGGTCGGAAGTCAACTGATCAATATGAAAGAAAAAATGTATTCTTTTTTAACGGGGAGGCTCCGATTCTATTTATGTTTTACGCTTTAACTTAGACTGGAAAATATTCTAGCAACTGAAGATAACAAACCAGAATTTTTAAATAAATTAATAAATATTATTCGTCATGTCGCTCATGTTGCCATTATGAAAACCTGAAACTGTAGATTTTGTCAATATTTATAAAATACAGTTAAACTTCGATTAACAGATATTTCAAGGGACGCAAAAAAATATCTGTTAAACGAGGATATCTGCTTATCAAGGATTCGAGGGTGTTGAAGAAATATAGAAATATATTTTTAAGCCCGACAATCCCCAATATTATATCATTTTAACATTATTTGAACTTATCTATTATAGTTTATTATACTATAATGCTAGTTAGAGGATGAATTTATAATTCGAATTTTGAGAAACTGAGTAAATTAAGACCCCCGATTTTAAATTTTTCAGTTTATCAGCTTATCGAGGTCAGTTTTTCATAAAAATTTCACCACCGTTTATCGGGGCATCAGTTAATCGAGGATATCTGTTAATCGGGGCAATTCTTCATACAAATTCGAGTGTGTGCCAAAAAATATCCGCTTATCAAGGATATCTGATTATCGAAGTAGCTGTTAATCGAAGTTTAACTGTATTTTAAATTTCTCTGAGAATTAATTTTGTTTACTTATTAAACAACAACACATTTCGTTGTTAATGATTATCACCTTTTTATTTTTCAAATGTTAGACATAACGTTATTATAATTAAATGTCTTAAATATGAACGTTCCAATCTTGCAATGCACAAAATTTTGCTATGTAAATTACAATATTTTGATGATAAATATAAACAATCATGAACTAAGTTCAAATTATTTGATAACACAATCACTTAAGCATTGAAAATTGATGAAACTCTTGCGCACCTTCTACATTGTGATTCAACAGTTACATATAAAACTTGTATGAACTGTTAACGACAACAATCTTTAATAAAAACTCCCAGAACAACGAGCTTACATCAGATAATTTCAACATCTCCAACATTTATTTGAATTTTAAAACGTGTTTGAAGAAAAACAATTTAAAGTTTATTAACATAAAATTTCTTCATTATTAATTAATTATTAAAGATGGGAAAGTAAATTTAATTAAAATTAATACAACAAGAAATGACTTGAGAATATTAAACTTATTCTCGTCTATTCTTATTTAAAAGGACAAAAAAATGTTTGAATATTTTAGATTTAAGTTTATAGTTAAATGTAGCGATAAATGTTATGACTTTAATTTTAGGTATATAGTGCAGGGTTCCCTGGATAATAGAAATAAATGAATATATTTTACACATCAACGTGAGTCTGCTGGTCATTCTTATTTCTTATAAGCAGTAAATGATTAATATTTTTAGATTTAGCATTGAAAGCTGTGTTATGGAATGTTGAACGGACAGCTTAAGCATCAGCGTCGTTCATCACATTGCTTAGACGAATTCATATTTGTTTATATCGGGATTCTTACACTTTAAGCTTATTCATGTGCTTCGCTTTCTTGTTGTACGAGTTTAAAACGTCGCGGACTTTTAATCGAACCACTATTGACTCTGCATAAATGACCCTGTTGTGCCATGCGTTTCCTGATGAATCTTGAAATGAGAATTTGTGGTCGTTTTTGCCATTCGTTCATCACTTCTTTAGGAGCCATCACCTAAAACAAGAAAAATGTTGTTCATAAAGACATTACAAATCCTGATTGCAACAGTAAATTGTACCTGATCTCCATTGAGACGATTAAGTAATGCTACACATACGATAGCTGCCTTTATACCAGCATGATGGGTAAGTGCTGCGAAAATTGTCGCTGAAAAGAAATTTATTTTATCCAATAAATAATCTGAGGTAATAAAAATTTAATGTTGATACTCACATTCCATCTCAATATTTACGACACCGAATTCACGTAATTTCTGCAAATATTCCATCTTTTCGTTCTCTGTGAAATCACAAAAAGCACCATCAAGACGTCCTTGTCCTTCGTAGAAATCATATGTGCACATTGTTTTTCCAGAAATGGTTTCGTACGCATCTTGTGTTGGATCAGCAAGAGCTTTCAGTTCTCTTGATAATTTTCTATCCAATTTTGCTGGCCGGTGGATAACTTTTCCAAGAACAGTCTATAAATAATTAAACATAACGCAAAAAAATATCTTAAAACTCTCCGAATTAATCCAAGAAAAAGAAAACTTCTGAATAAATAATATTCAGCTTTTCTTTTAAAAGAAGAAATTGCCTTTTTTATACAAATGTTGGTATCGCATTTTTCTCCATCGAATTTCATAAGCACAACGTAAACTTTTTAAAATACATAAATATCTGAACAAAACACTCGAATGATTTATGAAACAAATAATTTTAGAGCTTTGTCATGCTTAAATACGCAAACAGAAGGAATGAAAATCTTACCATCTCGTAAGTGTCACGTAAAAGCCCGTCGACAGCACCTTCCGAAACAACCACAGTTCCGCCTTCTATTCCGATGCCTCCACAAGTACCAAGACGAAGGAAAACCGGATCTTTGCATTTTGCATGATACATGAGCTTGATTATTTCGTGTAAAAGGATTCCGATGGAAGGAACACCCATTCCATGACTGATGGATAGAACTGGGCCAACCTAAAAAAAAGGTAATATTTAAATTGTTAAAGTGTTGTCATTAGAGGAACTCAATAAAGTGTGCCACCGAACATCAATAACATTCAAATGAGAATATTTTTTACGACGGAAAACATCGTTTAATAAACCGCCTACATTTCCCCATTATTGCAAAAAATAAATCCCCAAATATTTGTCGACTTTATTTTAAATGGATTTAAATCGAAACAAATATTTTAACATAACAAAATTCATGTTATGCTGGCATTGCCATTGATTTAACATTCAAATTTATGTATCTTCCTGACACATGATTCGAGCATCCGATTAATTTATGACTCGAGAGGGAAGCAACCGATGAAAAATGAATTCTAGGAGAATTCAATTCACAATGTTATCTCACAGAAAAATAAGAAACATGAATTCAATTCTTCAAATGTTATTTAGGATCACTTTCAACGAAACAAAGTCGTGAATAATTGAGGTGAATAATGTCAGGGGTATCACTTGACATGGAGAAATTTGAATTGTATTTTGAATAATTGCATTGACTATGAAAGAAATACGAAATGAGACATTTCCGTCATGTTCGACGTACAAGAAATGTTTCAGCTTCACTTAGACACAGCAAGGCAGAAGTTTAATCAGTTCATCTAAGCTCTATCATATTTTAAGGAGGATCAATTAGGATTAATTGTTATTTCATATGAGCTTTATTTGTTATCTGATGTCGAGAATTTCCTCCGGAACTAAATAAGAGTAAGAAATTTGTCGCATTTATATAAATATGTGAGCGGATTATGTTCAGGACAAGCTTTAGGATGCCTTTCTATAAGTAAATATTAAGCTATGCCAAAAAGTGTGAAGGTTTCTCACTAAATTTATAAGCAACAAATGATATTACATCGGAATTCAATTTCCAGTTTCTTTCATCTGAGAAAACATTCATGTTGTTCCAATAAATTACTTAAATTAACACTTAGATAATTGAATTATACGATGCTTTAGGGAAAACTGTTTTGCTGAAAATATTCATGTTGAAAAAAGGATTTCTACATGAAAAAAAATGAAAATAGTATCAAAGCGGGGAAAAGTTACCTTATACATCGAATAGCGGTAAGAGAACGCACTGATGTCTTGCAATTGTGTGCCCGCAGGTAATTTATAACCAATTTCGTCCATTATAAAATGTGCAAAATTTTCCATTCGTTTTGGCGTTCCACCCATGCAAACAAACTGGAAATAAATTGAACATTATATCTAAGAAAACATTTTGAAAATGAAAGTGAAGTTTCTGATAAACTCACCTTGACATCACCAAACATTTCTTCAAGATCGTGACTCCCACTACCCAAAGCCAAGTGATAGAGAATGTCTTGATCCATTAACTCGATATTTGGATTGCGTAATTTCACTGTTCCATCGTTGTACCTATTAGAACAATAAAAGAGAGGAAAATTTTTCAGAAATCTTCGACTGAATGTAAAATATTCGCGAAATGAAGTTTTGTATAATAAGAAAACTTCGAATGGAAAAATAAAATTACCAACGAGATGAAAAAAAAAATCTAATAGAACATTTTCATTTCAAACATTTACACTTGATGTACGAAATACTTCAAGCTTAAATAAAGGCAATTTTTTTCAACAAAATGAGCTTTTCTTTTGTTAAGTCTGAAACTTTTTTATAAAGTTTAGTTTTCACTTGAAAAATTATTTATAAGACAAAAGAGAATCAAATATGAAAATGTTGGAAATTATAATTAAGTTAATTAAAGTGATGTAATTGTAGTCATGATTTAGCATTTAAAAATAAATCTTAGCAATTGATAAGAGTCACGCCAGCGAGTAATTAAATACTCCGAAACTGGAGATACTGCATACTTATTAATTAAGGCATTTCTTTCATACCTTTTCATTTCTGCTGTGAATTTTAATTAAATTATTACTCTTATTTTAAATAAGGTTTACCTCATCTCGAATGAATCATAAATCATCGCTCTCCTTCCGTCTTTAATTATGTTCATTATATCAAAGGCCCAAACCAACAGATGGTTTGAGTAGCGGATCAATATTATTAAATGAAATTCAATCAAAGCATAATCTTCACTTCATGTTTCCTTAAACTTTAATGTTTAAGGTAAATATCTGCCTATACAGATATCAACAATAAAACGTATCTTTGAGCTTTAAAAATATATTTACATGCCTGAACTTTTGTTTCAAGAACCCTTTTAAATTCGTTTATAAGAAGAAACTTTTCCCCTCCAATAATTGCGGCAAATTAAATTGACTACCGGAGATCGTTAGTCTCGCTTCTTTGTTTAACTGTGCTATCTTCTCAGGAAATAATTCTCAAGGATCCTTTTCATATCTTTTAACATTGTCAAATATTTGTTATCGCTGAAAGATTTATAAAGGGATAATTATCGCTTTGTGCTTGTTTTAATTGTAATGGAATTACACAGAAAAATTCGAAGAAATAACTTTTGACATTTTAAAGACTTGAAGAAACAGAAAAGTTTAAAGTAAACAATTTGAAACAAGAGTTCTTTGTTTCACTTTTTCCAATAAAAAGAGAAGGTTTAAAAGTTTGAATTGCCATTCTTTGAATCTTATTCATGCTGCTCCAAGTATTTCAACAGCTATCAAAATAATAACATTAATGATTCAATTTGCTGTCTTAATATTATTTTCAATCGCTCGAAGAGATTTCACGAAGTTTGAAAGCTCTTGACAAGTGTCGCTTTTTGGTTTCTCGATGATTCTATTTTTATGTTGACAACGAGAGTAAAATGATTTTAATGCCGTTCGGGGAATTCAAAAGCTTTTATATCAATTCAAGAGAATTTAGATGTTCACCATAAAATAATTCTATGTGTTTTTCGCACTCCAATGAATTACCTCGTTTTTAAATAAATAATTTCATCATTTTCATCATCTTTGGAACTTGCAGAAGCACCATCGTCATCGCTTGAAGTCTCAAATTTTACTCCATTAATATTTTGCATGGGATCTCCATTAGCATCAATAACTTGATTAATTATAATATCATCGTCAATATAGCAATTTGAAATTCCATTTCCATGTATTATGGAAGCAGATTGAACAACTGACATTTTTCGGCGTACTGAATTACGACGTATGAAGATATCTGAAAATTTAATCATTTTAATTCTATTCGATTAAATGTGTTGATTGCAGAAACAAGTTTTCATCTGAGGAATATCGTTAAACCTCCAATATTCTGATAACAGCCGTTTTCATGCATACTAATGACATTAATTTATGAATAATTGAGAGTGGCGCTTTAATTTTGGCCTCGAAATCACGAACAGGCAAATATTTAAGTTTTTCCTGTTTGTCTTTTCATTCTTCAGAAAAAAGCACAAATAAAATAAAATTATTTTTAGAATACTGGATCGATTTGAACATTTCTAATCAGCATCATAACAAAATATTTTTAATTTATTATAAAAATATATCAAGTTGATTGAAAAAGTAAACTTGATCTTGAACTTTTGCTACTAAGTTTACTTAAGTCTCATAAGTCATGTTCATGCTCGTTATTTAACTTTTCCGTTATCATTCAACAAAAATGATTTAAAGCAACAACAAAAGTAATTTATTACTGTGTCTAATTGAAGTTGAGAAAATAATGCGCAGAACTTTTTTTTTAATGAGTGAGGAATAAAAATGAAACATGTTCGACATCCTACAATTGAACGGTTATGAGAATATCTCCCTATTGGGTTTTAATTTAAATGTCATTTCCTTTAATGTAGAATGTAACTAGAGTTTTATGCCTTGTAAGTACTGAGCATATGTTAGTACATGTTTTACTATTTAACGGCCTTATCAGTTTCTAGAAACTCCCTTAACAAGCAATTTATTTTTATTGCTACGGAATTCCACAGAAATGATATCTTCTATGTGTTTAACACTGTTTGGAGGCTCGTCATTGTATACACAAATAATTATAAGTCACGTATGACGTCAACATCGCATGTGCTTGTTGTTCCTTTTCTTTCTTATGTGAAATCATTTTTTTATCGATTTTCCCTGTTTTGTATTTGTCGGATATAAAATTTTATGTTAACATAACAAATGAAAGATAATACAAAGAGAGTCTTTGTTTTTTAGAAACACTAGAATCTCTAATTCCTTTTGTTATGATGCTTATAAATAGAATTTTTCAAACTTGAGTGATTAAACTCAGCTGATTCTGATTAACACACGAGACACAAAAAATCAAAACAATCAAGTTTTTTTCAATAAAGTTGATAAAAAGTTAGAACAGAATTATGAATAAAATTAGAATGCGTTTGATTTACAATGAGAAGGAAACAATAAAGTTAACTCTTTAAGGTGATTTTACTTGGAGTAATTAATTCTCATTAAACATGGGTTGAGATTTAGGTAATAAAATTGTCATGAAACGCTTTTCACATACATTAAATGCATGACATTAAAGCCACATGCTTTACGTGTGCTCGGTTTGAAAGTGCACTATTTATGACATTTTTTATTTCACAATAAAGCAATCTACATAAATTCTAAACACCTGACACATTCCAATAATTTGTTACAACGCTTAGCCATAAGTATCAATCGTGTGCTAATCGTAAATGTGTAATTTGTGTCAAATTAAAGTTGTAAACTTGTTTCTGCAATGGAATTTCTGTTCTCTGAAATCTAATACGTTTTTGTGTGTTCAGACCTTTTTTTTAACTTTTCACAAAAATTTCCGCAAACACGCACTTTAATGAACTGATCTTTTCCACTCGACAGTCTGTTACGAACTGTCGTCAAACAAAATTGTTAAATAAAAAGAAAAGGAAAACTTCTAAATAATGTTCTCACCATGCAAAGTCAGCGTGTGGTTGTAAATTTAATACAATCTTAAGTCACAAACACATCACTGCGGTGATTGAATGGCAACATGCCAGAAACTCAGAGATTGGAAAAGAAATGTACTCAAGTTTGTCAGTTGTTCAATCAAACTTCCGTTGTTCTACTTGATACGAAACTTTTCTCGTTAATTAAGCAAATATTTGTATAATATTCTTATCAGTCACCTTATGGATTGTGCAACAGATAAGGAAATATTTGAATAATAATAAAGAAATTATACAAAGCAAAATTCAGTTATGAAATATTATTGAAAGATTTGTTAGTGAGAGTGATTCGAGTAACCAAGAGGGGGAATAACAAAAAATTTTGAATGAAATTAACAGGAAATTTATTTAAAAAGAAAAATAAATAGAAAAGAAACAGAATAATCGATTTTCAGGTCACTACCTAGGCAGACCTCAGTCATCCCCTCAAGCAAAGTAAGGGAAAATCGTTCGAGCCAAAGTGATTGAAATAGCATTACGTATATCAATCAGCTTCTTCTTTAAATCAGATTTCTGTTCTCTCTCGAAAAAATCAAATAAAGTAATCAGGAAGGATGTTATAAATTGATAATCTACCTAACAGCAACACATTAAACTTTCCTTTTCATCTTAAGAAATTTTCCCCTTTTAACCAATGAAACAAAATGCCTTAAAATCGAATTTACTTTTATCGTGGTTGGCTTGACGTGAATATAAAATTCTCGATCTGATTTCCCAGGTGAAAATCGATTGATTTCATCGAAAAGTCTTTGAACATGCTTACTTTTTGGATACTTAGAAATCTTCTTTTTCCAAAAAACGTATCAACTTCAAAGCACAGTTGAATCTTAGAAAAATATCTGAGCCATATCGACTTTTCGCACTGAAAACAGTTTTGTTTTCACATGCAGGCTGAAAAAGCTGTAAATGTAAGCTTTTTCCAAATGAATTCTTTTTATTTGCTCTAAACCTAAAAGGATCATTTTTTACCCTTTTTGTGGTCAAATATTTGATCCCTCACCTCATTCAAAGAATTTTATTCTTCTCAATTTTTCTCATGTTTATCTCCTGACAATTGTAAGTTTTCAAATCGTTTGAATATTTTTTAATTAAATCTACTTATTCCGTTTGATATTTCTATGATTTCTAACAAACGGTGTGGAATAATCAATAATTAAGTTAGGAGTTTCAGGAAAAAATGAAATATGTCTGGTTTGAATAACATGACCTATAAAACTAATTCGTCTATCATTATTAATGTCTTCAACGTACTGTCTTATCAATACATGTTGAATTTTAAAGACAAATACTAAATAAATTAAAGACGTTAATTATGACGACATTTTAAATGCGACTCATATTGTCATTGAGAAAGATGAACCTTCCTAGAAGAGATTACCAGAGTAGAGGACTTGGAGAGTTTTGAAGTGCTTTAGGGAGAGTAATGTTCTTACAAACATCAAACCAAATGAATATTTCAAGGGTTCATTTCATTCTAATCTCAAAAGTTTGGTACTTTCCTTGTTTTGGCATCTCGGAAAAATATTATTCGTTTTATTTATGATAAAGTGTTTTAATCGTAATAAATTAAATATTGAGAATGAATGCGAAATTCTAAAACAAGCAATTTTAATAATTAATCCTCTTTTTTAGTAAATTTAAATTACATTAAAATTTGGTTGGTGGCTCGAGTGAATATTTTCTGTTTTAGAAATTCTTGACGTCGGTTCTTACGTAATTTAAACACTCATTTCGTAGGTATTTATTTAACAAGAATAGAAATATCTAAAACAAGAAGTTGTCTGGGTTATATACGAGGATATTTTTTCAGAAATTAAATTTAAATTATGCCACTCAACAAGACAAAAATTGTTTGAATAAATTTGTCAAAATATATTTCATTAATTTTTTTGTAGTTGCCTAGGATTTTGTTCATAATTTAAGAATTTCCCTTATTCAAAGAACGCTTTTCTCTTATCATTGCAGTACATTTGCATGTATGAATTGATTCAAGAAAGATGAAACGAAGCCAAGTTAAAGTGTTGAAAATCTCAACAATTTTCTTTTTATCTTCAGCAGCAAACTTGTCGCCTTCGACTTTTCTTGATTTTTGCATTATTCTGTTTTATTTCTCTTTCCAGTCAACAGTCATTTCAGATATTTTAGCTTTCAAGCTTTCTATCTGATGATTGGTGCGTTAACAACAAAATATTTGCCGTTTTGCAATATGCTGCCGTGTTATTGTCATTGAGTTTGTTCATTCAGCTTGATTTAATGAGAATCGCAAGTGTTTGAATAAATTTATTGACAAGTGTGAAAATTCGATAAAAAAAATTACTTACTCGTCTCGTTCTTCTTCTGAAAGCGAAGGTGATGCACCCCAAAATGCCGACATCTTCAACATAAATTAGTGTCTGGAACATAAAGAAAAGAATGAAGTGAAAATTCACGAAACACAAGACAATAATAAGCATAATTGAATCTAGCTCCGGCAGAGCTTTTCCACGCCTTTTAATGACTTTGCTAATTCTTTGGGTGGAGACAAGATTAATCCTTATAAATATTTTAAGCAAACACAAACTTCTTTCACACAACACTTTACATTAAGGATCAAATTTCTAAATGGAAGAAAATTTGATGAAACGCAAACGAAAATTTTGAAAGCTTTCAAGTTTGAAATTTAATTAAAATTTCGCCTTTCTCGATTTGAAAATTAACATCCTAGATAAGTAACTTTGCTAGCTAATAAATATTTCACAGATTCACTCTTCTTGACAAATATAATTATTTCGACACGAAAGATTTGATGATTGTTCAACTTGAGAAATTGATCATTTGCTTTATTTATAAATGAAAGCGATGCTCAGTAAACTTTTGTAATTGTCACTTGAAACGCTGGATGATCCTAATTAAAAACCAAAAGATAAAGAAAATAACTTGAATAGGTGATGAAATTTTATAAATAAATAAAAGCTTTTAAAAAACCTTTTCACAAATTATATTCAAATGCGACCGTTTAAGAGTCATCAGAAATTTATTTCGGGCTTTATTGCCTTTCACTGATTGAGACCATTTAAAGCCTCATTATCGTCGCACGTTGAGTAATCACAAAAAAATAAGGTGTGAATGGAAATTCTTTTCAGAAATTGTTTCGTAAACATTACAGCAGTTCGATGAAAAAAGGTTCATTTGACCATCAGATAATTGAGTTGACGATGCTTAAGGCTCAATCGTATAAAAAATTACCTATTAACTTACTTTTCTTACAAATTGAAAGGTTCCTTGTATGAATCCTCTATTTCAGACCGACTTTCTTATCCCAATATTTTTCTCTATCCAGTTGTAGTCTAGTGAACCAACCGTCCGAGTATACCAAAAACTTTTTCTTTATTCGATATCGATTTTTATTTGGAATGCGAAAAAACAGCTTCTTATCGCCTTTTGCTCTTTTTCCTTTTTCACAACTTCTTAATTTCAATTAATCTTTAAAGCAATAGGTTTTAGCAAGGCTTTTCACTGATACTTCTTAGAAATCACACGATTTTATCTAAATACCCTTGGAATTTATTTTATTCAATGAAGGATCAATTGATGAATTTATTTGAATATTTTGAATAAAGATTCAGAATTGGTTGCTAACGTTTTCATCACTTGTTATTTTTTCTATTATTATTTTGTTCCTATTTTCAAGTTCGTTCTGCTAATTTTCCATAATTTTATGTTAAGGAATAAAGCTCCTCTTTTTCACTATAGGAATGAAAATTTAATTCAATTTTTGAGGAAAAGGTGAAATGAGGATTTTAACGTCTCAGCTGACTGAAAATGTCCAACAGACTGAATCCAACTAAAAACATTTTTTCCTTGAGAATTTTCTGAAAGCTCTCTCTCAAGCACGCCTTTTCACCGATCATGCGTACGCATTGTTATAAATGGGGAAAATGATAATGATGTCAATATTGAGATGCAATTCTTTATTATTATAGAATTTAAAATTTCCTCGATTTACAAAACTTTGTAATGAATCGACATAAAAAAGCTTTCCTTTTCTCTCAAAAGCCTCTCAATTTTCCTTTATTGTTATTATAAGTTATTTCAATGAGTCAAATGTGGTTAAAATTGCAGTTTTGGACATTCATACTAAATAGGAATGACTGCATCATCAGGCAACTAAATGAAATATTTATTAACATCCTAAAATAAGATTTTAATCGTATGCTAAAGCTTCGAGAACTGTCTAAGCAATTGAAAGATTAAAAGAAAAGTCAAAAAGCTTTTCTACAATCTCCACTCTCTGAAAACCGAAAAATAAAACAATTTCTATTAATTTTTCTGACAATAATGTAGATATCTATATAACGTAAGCACGTTTTTTTATTACATCAAACATTTACATAATGTGAAGTGAGCCTTACACAGACAACTTTGTTTCGTCCTTTTATTTAAAATAATATTTTTCTTTAGCAGAAAAAGAGAGAAAATCGACCATGCTTTATGTTCGGAGCTGCTCATAAACTTCCGTTAATGAATTAATGTAGAATAATTTATGTTCTCACAGATTTCACACAATCTACAGTAGAATGATCTATGATAATAAAATAATTGTGAAACTTTCTAATGTTTTCACAATAATACAATCATGAATATTAATTCAATTTCTTAAACATTACATACATAAATAAGAGATTTATATTAGATTTAAATTCCTATCAGCCTCAAGAGAAAACCGTTTTTCCGACATATTTAGACATTAAATTTTCACAAATCTTTTCTTTCAATTTGACTTAAACTGGCCATTCGTTTAGGTAACATTGCTGAAGCAACATAAGGTGACTTCTAAGTGTTAATACATATTAGGTTTTTATATTTATTGATGTGCAACATCATATTTTATATATTTTGATGTTTAGAAATCTTAATTCAAATGAAATTTTTCACATTTAATTGCAAGAAAAAGTTGAACATTTTTTTAAAGAAATGAAATTTTCACTGTTAAGCATTTTTACAGCGCACATGAATCATTTAATAATTTTGGTTTTTTTACGTATGTCAAGCAATATGAAGGTGAAAACCGTGAAAAGCAACCAAAGGGATTAACACGAGGGTGTAAGAAATAACTAAGAAAATAATCAAGGTCTTATGTTGCTCAAATTAATTTAATTGTTCTAAAAGAGATCTTCAAAGAATGGTTGAAAGACATTAGCTTAAAATAATTTCAAAATTAAACCAACATACTTTATATTTAAACATATCATCGATGAGACTAACAATATTCATAATTCGCCTTTGGAAACACCGCTCTCACAGGAAGATCGAATTTAGGGTCTCGTTGATTTCTAAAGCGCCTTGCAACGAATACAGCTATAATCTGTTCATAACAATAAAATTGGGGATTAAATTAAATTATATTAGCAAGAAAAAGGAACAGTAAAATATAGACGAGCAGTGAGAAAAACAATAATAATTTTATCTAATATTAAATGCTTTACAAAGTGCAATCAAAACGGCATAAGAAAGAGAAGCGTACTTATGTATGTATGACATTAAATCTAAAATATAAGATCCATTAAATGTACATAATAAAGTTCGTAAAGCATGTTTGGAAACACAAGAATAATAAAAAAACATGTCAACCAAGGCTAATTTTCCATCAATAAATAAATGAAGCATAAGTTGAAGTTAAGAAATGGACGATAAACAAACCTATCGATGGGGAAATTAAATTTCTGAAGCTTCTTAAGAAGAAATAAATGAAAGATTGTTTTGAGTTTACAAAAAGGCGCTTGCATGAAGATTTTTTTGGTTTCGATAGCGAACTGTTAAAATCACTCCCAAAAGCTAAGAATGAAAATTATTAGGTAGCGAGGAATCAATTGTTAATTTTATGTTATTTTATGTCTCTTTTAAAATTAAAGTACTCACCTCTGTGAAGCTGAAGAAAAGTCCAATGGAACCAGAAACACGAAATGCAGAATCAATGGTATCCTCTAGCTTGGGTAAACAAGGCAAGCAAGTACAATCTGGAGCGTCATTAGTCGAGCAGCATATCTTGTTAACAGCATCACAGGAAGGATGATCGTTAGCTTGAGTAGTATTGAATCCGCAGCATCCAAAGGTTGTCTGGACTTCAGCTTTGATGTCATCCGAAACTTCATTCCATCCTTCCTCAGCAAAAATCCTTTGTTGATGTTTGCTAACAGCAAGACATGAACAAGCGATTGCGAATTGAACGATGAATAAACAGAAAAGGATAATCATGTAGAAGAACAATGTAACTTGATGGTGTTTAGCTGCTCCATATAAGCCCATCAGGGCAAGAGAAATCAGAACTACTCCACATCCGATAATCGATGGAATAATCGGAAGATCAGTGAAGCGGTTGCCATACACTGCTGAACTGATGAGAAGTCCACCGACGACCTGTAGAAAGTTTCGGTAAGTTAGGAATTCGCTACGCAAAAAATCGATTTCGCGATGCTTTTGAAAATCGATTAGAAAAGGAAAATTCCGGAAAAACTTACAATGTACATCAAATTGAGTAAAATTAAGGAATTTCGTGAACAATAAAATCCTCCACACATTTTTGTTGTCTTTTTAAGAGTCTTAAAGTTTCAATGTGACTAGGTTGAAAGCAATTTCTTTGATGATTTCTATTTCCGACGAAATTTGTTTTGATTTGATTTTTTTGTGAGGGGAATTACTGAGGAGACCTAATTTAACCCTTGTTTAACTCCATGGAGTTGTATCACAATAATTCTCATCCTCCTTTTCGTAGAGACGAGTCCAACGTGAGTTTTGAGGTAAAAACCTTTTTCATCAAATCTTTGTAATCTTACGTTATTCTATTCTGTGACCAGTAGATTTAGGTGCTCCACGCTATAATTTCATAACTTTAGTTAATTTAAAGTTAGTAATCGTAATATGGCATTGATTTTATGAAAATTGAATTTCTTCATATTTTTCAAGATATTTTTACAAAATTTTGTGCAATTTTCATTACTAATTATATCTTTTCCTTGAAAATTAGGTAAAGACATCATGTTGCTGTATACTTACCCAGAGAATTTCCGCGCATATAAGGCTTTGATAGCGGCACAATTTTCAGGAGCCAATTTGAAAGTTGCCCCAAAGTTCGAATTTGGAGAAACAAACAAATCGGAAGAATTCTTAAAAAAGTTTCCCTTGGGAAAGGTAATTATCATATGAATCATAATTTAAATTATAATTAAGCTTGTGAAATATTATAAAAATGAATAATTTCGAGGTTAGAATGCAATCGTTGTCAAACTGTTCTCAGATTTTTTTATTTGATGACGTTGTGAGTTATTTTTGGTTTGCCACATTGAGAAAAGAAAACTTTTACAATTTTTCATTCTCGATGTGTGTTTAGTATGACATCATTTTATGATTGACTTAGCACTTGTTAATCATTTATTTCTTTATGATTTTTTTAGGTTCCAGCTCTTGAGACCGACGATGGCAAATATTTGACTGAGTCGAATGCTATCGCATATTACGTGTCGAATGCTCAACTGCGAGGATCAAATGACTTCGAAAAGGCTGAAGTTATGCAGTGGATGAGTTTTGCTAACACTGAAATTGGACCAGCATCATCAGCATGGGTCTTCCCAATTTTAGGAATCATTCAATTCAACAAGAATTCAGTTGACCGTGCAAAAGAAGATATCAAAGCATTTTTGAACACTCTTCAAGTTCGTTTGGTAAACAACACGTTCCTAGTTGGTGAACGTATTTCACTTGCAGATATCGTTGTGTTCTCTTCACTCTTGCAACTTTTCCAACATGTTGCTGATCCAGCATTTCGTAAGCCATACTTTGCTGTCAGCCGTTGGTTCAACACCATTCTGAATCAAAAAGAAACACAAGCTGTTGTGAAGAACTTTAAGTTCTGCGACAAGGAAGCTCAATTTGATCCTAAAAAGTTCCAAGAATTCCAAGCTAAGCATGGTGGTCAACAACAAGCTCAAAAGAAGGAAAAGAAACCTGCTGAGAAGCCAGCTAAGAAAGAGAAGGAAGTTGAGCCACCAGCAGAATTAGATGCTGCCGAACAAGCTCTCCTCATGGAGCCTAAGTCAAAGGATCCATTCGATGAATTACCTAAGGGAACATTCAATTTCGATGATTTTAAACGTGTGTACTCTAATGAAGACGAAGCCAAGTCTATTCCTTATTTCTTTGAAAAATTCGACACTGAAAATTACTCGATCTGGTTTGGTGAATACAAATATCCCAAGGAACTCACCAAGGTCTTCATGAGTTGCAACTTAATCTCAGGAATGTTTCAACGTTTAGATAAGATGCGTAAGCAAGCATTTGCATCTTGTATTTTATTTGGTGAAGACAACAACAGCACCATTTCTGGTATTTGGGTATGGCGTGGACAAGATCTTGCTTTCCCACTTTCACCTGATTGGCAAATTGATTATGAAAGTTATGATTGGAAGAAGTTGGATGCCAAGAGTGAGGAAACGAAGAAACTTGTGACACAATATTTCTCATGGACGGGAACTGACAAAGAAGGTCGCAAGTTTAATCAAGGAAAGATTTTCAAATAAATTGCGCAAGGAAATTGCCACACTGTCTAATTTTCACCTTTTCCCAGTTCTATGTGAAGCATAAAAAATGAAGAAAAATCATGAAATCCCTTAATGAAATTAATAATCAGTTCTTTAACTTTTTTTTGTAATGAAACTGAAAGTTGTTGGTATAAAAAGAAATGCGAGATCTAACAATTAAAAAAACAATTTTCAACGAAAAAACTTTTTATTTTCTTATTTGACTTTCAATACGGGCACGTTTTCTATTGATAAAAGGTTTGACATTGTCGTACTTCTTTTTAAAAAGTAGAGAAACATCAAATGGTTTGAATATTTTTCCTTCAACATCGTCCTTGAATGTTTCGGAAACATTGCAAAAAGGTTGAAAAAGTTTGTTGTCCATGTCGAAGATGTCGATTTGAAGATGTTCATTCTTAAGATATTTTACGAAAACCTTATTGTCATGTATATTAAAATCAAATTCATTAGGATATAAGTTTTCTCCGATGCATGACAGATTGATATATTCACTGCTTTCAAATTTATATTCGTAAATGTAAATTTTGTTGTCATCACTCGACATGGCGATCAACCCAAAACCTTCTCTAATCGAGGATGAATAAATGGTTATGGGAACAAAAGGAAATTCAATCTTTTGAAGTTCTTTTCCTTTTCTATAGTCCCATGTTCGAAGAGTCTTGTCTCCAGATGCTGACATCATGATGTTGTCTTTCTTGAGAAACGTCAGAGATGACACGAACTCTTTGTGGCCCAGACAAAACGCTTCTATTTCATGTGTATCTGGATAGTTTGTCACTCTTATCTTTTCATCGCGATCTGATGTTACAATACAACTAAAATTTTTTTATTTATTTAGATATATATTTATTGGTGAATTATTCAACTTTTAAAATTACCTGAAGTCGGGAGCAATTTGAAGATCTAATATTTGAGAAATGTGTCCAAAAATCCATTTACCAGAACTTAAATATTCATCACCTTCATCATCGCATGAATAGACAAATGTGTCACCTGTTTTATCAGCAAGAAAGAGATATTTCCCGCAACATGAGAATCTTAAAATACTTGATGCTCTCATAAATACTCTTCGACTAAGAATCGTCACAGTTTTGTCATTATCTATTTTGCATAAGAATAGTGATTTATCACTACTTGTGAATGCTAAAAGTTCTTTGTTTTCTGATAAAGTAAAATTGTTTATAATTTCTTCTGATTCCTTTTCTGCTTCCAGATCTGCTTTATTTTCAATTTCCTCATTGTTGCTTTCCAAAAACATTTTCGGTTTCTTCGGATTTAATACAAAACTCCAATCAATATCAAACGTCCAGTTATCTTTAACATTTTCGATTGAGAGAAAATGAAATTTCTTTTTGTAATCACTTGTGAAAACGAGATAGTTCTTATAAAATTCCATTATTATTGCTGAGTGAGTTAAATCTCGTGAAGGTTAATAAAATTCTGAGGAGATAATTTTGGATTTCTGAGATGACAAATTTCTGTTGTTTATCTCTGGGAGGATAAATTTATTCTCTCCTTCAAATTGTTTGTTTATGTTCATCAATGATAAATTTTACTTAAATTACAAGATAAAGTTACTGTACTGCTGATATTATAATGAATCTCTGTCGCTTATGTGGTGAAGAAAAAAGTCCACTTGACTTTAACATTGAGTTAAGTGATAAATCTCATCTAAATTGGAATTATCATGAATTAATAGAACATCACACTCGAGTAACATTGAAAGTTAATAAGCTTTTACCTCAAGGAGTTTGTGAAGAATGTCGAAGTTTGGTTGAGGATTTTGCTGTGTTTTCATTAAAAGTCCAAGAAGTTCAAAATTCATATAACATTGATGAAGACGATCTCATCTTCACTGGGGAACATGCACAACTTAATTCAATCGTTCAAATATTTCCCGAAGCAATAATAAAAGAACCGAAGGATTCAGATGATAGCAGCTGTAATAATCAAGACAATGATCATTTCGAAGAAGAATTAACATTCGAAGAGATTTTTTATGACAAACTTCATAAAAATGCAGACAGTTTGCTTGACTTACATCTAGATGTTCCGAAAATAGCAATTCTTGAAGAAGGAAAAGTGTCAGAATCATCTCTGTTGCTTATAAATTCAACTAGGTGGAGTGAAATGATAAAAAATTGTGATATCTCAAGTAAAAGTCTTAATGAACTGCTATCTCATCAAGCATTTTATCAGAACACAAAAATAGTGAAATTTAATTGCAAACTTTGCATTTGTTCATTTAATAAGATCTACAGCTATATCAATCATGTTATGAATAAACATTTACAGCTCGAGCATTTGCGATATTGTTGTTTAATATGTGACATGATGTTTTATAGTCTTGTACCTTTATATCATCACGTTAAGATTAATCATCCTGAATATAGTCCAAAGATCTTTCAGTGTTTAATTTGTGGTCATTATTGTGAAGATTTAGCAGACTTGAAGAAGCATAAAAGAATTCATAATGAAAGCGAAAATGCTGAAGAGATATCAGAAATTTCACCAATGATAACAGCAACAACGATGCACAATGAAGGGACATTGAAAAACGACGATGTTTACAAGAACGAAGATGGGACAGTTGGTAATGAAGATCAGTTCGCAAAATGGTCAGATTTTCATATAAATTGTTACATCTGTGAACTTAAAAATCTGACTCCAATTGATTACTTTTCCCATCATCAAAACTTTCACATAGATTGTTTGATTCCTGGAAGTCTTCAACCAAGTTTTAAATTTTCATGCAATAAATGTCATCAAGAAAATTTTTCTTCGCTAGCTTCATTCAGTTCACATTTAATTTCAAAACATGAGCTTCAAGAATTAAGTTTTCGATGCATTGTTTGTTCCAAAATGTTTTGGAATTATGTTGCTTATTCTCAACATCTTAAATCAATTCATCCATCCTTTCATCACTTTCTCTGCACAATGTGTGGAAAAATTTATAATGAATTATCAGCTTTAAATCGACATATCAAAGAAATTCATAATTCTGGAGATAAGGAGAAATATTTAAGAAAAAGAAAAATGAAATCTGATGAAAGTTTAAGTGAAAAGCGAATGAAAAAATCCAAAATTATGAAGAAGGAAAGTGAATCTGAATTAAATACTGATAGTTCAAAAAGTGAATATGAAAACGAATTAAGTTGGGATGAAGTTTCTTTTATAAATAATCGAAAAGAGAGGAAAAGTAAAAAACATCAACAGAAATTAAATGAAAACTCAAAACGAAGACCAAACAATCGTCATCGTCCTGAAAAGCAAACTTTATTTGGACCTGAACTTGATACACCTGAAAAACTTTATAGCAATGAGATCAATGGGAAATCTGTGTTCACTTCAACATTGTATTTAAATGTGAGTGCAGTTTGTAAGTTAAATAATGGTGAAGTAACCGAAGAAGCTGCTGAATCTCAAGGTTTAAATTCACTGAGATGGAAAGATTTGATGATTTGTGCAGTATGCAAAATAAAATTCACAAACATCAACAGTTTAACTGAACATATTGTGAAGAATCATGGCAGCAGAACTCGAGCTTTTGGCTGCTTCAATTGTGATATTAATTATGGAGCTTTATATGAGAGTTCACTAGTGAATCATCTCGTCGAACGCCATTATCTTGAACATTTGAAATTCTGTTGTTTAATTTGTTCAAAACTCTTCTACGACTTTCTTTCACTTGTTCAACATTACAAAAGTCATAAAGGGAAATTTGAAATTTTAGTTTGCTTCATTTGTGGATTTTATGCAAAGACTCTTGATGACTTAAAAGAACATAAAGCATATCATGTCCAAATGGAAAACTCAAAACCTGAAAATCAAACACTTTGTGAAAAAGTTTTACAAAAATTTAATGAAGGTTTTGAGTCAAATACTCTTAACGAGGATGTTGCTGATTTCGAGAGACTTCCAGATGGAACTGTTACTATTGAATGTGAGCGTCGTTTCACAATTGATTGGAATTTTGCGCAATATCAATGTCCATTATGTCAAGTCACTCATCCAAATCCATTTGAGTTATTCGTTCATCTTCGACTGAAACATCCGAAAGAACAAGAACAGATAAGAAAGATTTATTCTTGTAATTCTTGTGTGGAAAAGAAAGATTTTAGTGGCATGCATTATTTTATTAATCATGCATCTGATTTTCATTTTGAAAGTCTTCGATTTACTTGTGTGGTTTGTTTGAAGCTTTTTTGGAATTACATCGCACTGGCGAATCACTACAAAAATGTTCATCCTTCATTCACAACGGTTTATTGTTGCCATTGTGGAAAGTTATTTCACAGCATCACTTCCGGTGCAATACATTACAAGAAAATCATGATAATGCTTACTGAAGAAGAGAAAAGATTGAAGAAGGAAGGTAAATTAGAAGCTGAAGTTACAAGTCACATTTGCCATGTGTGTGGAAAAAGTTGCAAAAATAATGTGAGCTGAATTGAATTCATTCAAGAAATCTTTTAATTTATAAATAAATCTTTCTTTCAAACAATTTAGTATACATTAGTGAAACATATAACAACACATGAAGAGCCCGATCCATCAAAAATGCTTCAATGTCACATTTGTAGTAAATTGTAAGTTGAATTGAAATATTAAATTAAAATCGAGTTTTCAAAAAATTCTGTTTTATAAAAAGGTTCAACACAAAAAATAAACTCAATCAGCATATGGTGGGTCATAATAATCTAAGGAAATGGAAATGTAAGATTTGTGAAATGTCTTTCAATTTCAAAAAGCTTTTACAAATGCATACTCGGGTAATGATAAAACATATTTATTTGAATCATAAATTTATGTTAAAATTCACTTTCGATCTTTCTTTAATAAATAATTAGGCGGTTCATGAGAATGAGAGATCTTTTGCATGCAGCTTTTGTGAGAAAAAGTTCTTCAAGAAATATGATTTAACGGTGAGTTGAACAATTTAAGATATTCGCAAGTTACTTTATTTTGTTTTAATCAACAAAGGTTCATGTTCGACTCCACACTGGTGACTTTCCTTACGTCTGTCCGGTTCAAGAATGTGATTCAAAATATCCAGCATGGAGTAATTTGTTTAAACATTGTCAATCGCGCCATAAACTTGACATAAGATCGGAAGGATATAAAAAGCTTAGAGCTTCGGAGAAAACTCAAAATGAAGATTTCGTTTCTGAGTGATGAAAAAAGTCAATAAAAACCATTTGATGTTAGAAATTTAAATTATGATCTCTTGAAACTAGAAAAAACAATAAAAAGATATTTATGAAAACGAAAGTTTTCTTCGTTGTGGATTTTAAATGTTCCTATATTTTAATTTAATTTATTTGCTATAATCAAAGGAATTATTTAACATTTTTACTAACACAGACTTGTTAATTATAAGTATAAAATAAATTACGTAGCAAACCTCTGAAAATATTCCAAGACATGATGTTTCAATCATTGATAGCACGCAAACTTTTTATCATAAATTAACATTGTTTCAAATTTAATTAGCAGGATCTTTTGATACAGGTAGGAATTATTTTAAAAAGGTCTCAGTAAGGTTTAGATATTCAAAGATTCAACATGGCAAAAAAATTTGTATTGGTGAGTTTTATTAATTTAATTTAATTTCAATTTTAAATTTTCTATGGTGCATTGGAAGGTCACACTTGTTGTTTTCATTTTGCTTGAGTTCGTACATGAAGCCCAGTCATTGACTGACACCGCGAAATCTCAAGAAGTGAAAATAAATGAACGTTTAAAAGCATTGCCAATCGGTTCATCTACAAGAGTTCGTCGAGCATCCACAGGTGATTCTTCTAAAAAGAAAGGTAAAAGAAAAAGGAGACGAACATTAGAAGAGATTGTCGCTAACTTGAATGACCATCAACTTTATAATTTTGCACAACTGCTAACTATACATAGGTTTATGTTCGATCCGAGAAAGTGATCTGAACAGAATTTGTTATCGAAAAGGATAAATAAAAGAATAAGATTTATTTGTTCATCATACAGGTTACCGAAGTTATTCAGTTTTCATTTTAATATTTAATTTTCTGCTATGGCAATGATCAATGCATTGGCAATGATTTCAAACTTCTGTGCAAAAAATTCAAAAACATTAAAACAAAAAAATATCGTTTAGTATCTTTTATGTTATTTTTATATTTTTTCTCTTGTTTCCTTAAATAATATAATATAAGAATAATTTTAAAATTAAATTTCTATTTAGTGCTTCAGATCCAACAATTTTCATTCGTATTGTGCGCACATGTGTGCGAGAAGTAACGAAATTTGAAATTTTCTTTTTAAAAATTATGTCATCTCGGTTTGTTTTATTTTAATCTTTCAAGAAACAACAATCTTTGAGAAATTTTCACAACTTTCTAAGTATATGTGCTTAAGGGTAAAACAGTGAGCTAATATTTTCAATGTGGTAAAGAATGAATCTGTGTCGGCTTTGTGGGGAGGAAAAAAGTCCTTTAGATTTCCACATTGAGTTGGAAGACCAAGTAAATCAGACTTGGAGTTATCGTGATCTTATCGAATATCATACTCGAGTTTCTCTAAATTGCTATAAACTTCTTCCACAAAGTATTTGTGAAGAATGTCGAGAACATGTTGAAAAGTTTGCAGAATTCAGTAAAAAAGTACATGAAATACAAAACAACTACGACGTTGAACATCATGAATCTCAAACATTAAAAGAAAATGTTGAAGAAGTTAATTTGTATGATTGTTTAGATATTAAACATAACACTGATCTAGTTGTTAAAGACTCAAAAGAAGAAAAATCACGTAAATCTCCACGGGTAATATAAAATATTTATCACTTTACTCACTAGTTAGAAAATTACTTTTTTATAGAAACGGCCACGAAATGAAAAACAAACTTCGCTAACTGTGGAGAGCATTTTCAACAACATTGTTCTTAACGCTAAATCATTTGATGAAAAGGATTATCAACTTAATGAAAACGGAGAAATATTGGATGGTTCATTATTTTCAAAGAACCTCGTGAAATGGACAGATTTTGACATTAAAATTAATTATGACTCAAAAAATGACTTAACATGCTCCATATGCTCCAACAGCTTTCACGAAGTCTATAAATTATTAAATCACATTGTTAACAATCATCCAGAAGCTGAATATTTGAGGCATTCATGTTTATTTTGTTTTAGAGTATTCTTTGATTTAAAATTTCTTTTTCAACATTTTAAAGAATATCATAAAGATGAATCTTTAAACATTTATCAATGTTGGACGTGCGGAGATTACGAAAAATCAATTCAATCATTACAGCAACATGCAAATGGACATTTGCCAGAAACAAATAAAGATTCACGCAATAGCAATTATTTGTCACCATCAACACGATCAAAACGAAAGAAAATTTCAGTTGTTTCGATCAATAATGAGCAAAAAGATTTTGAAAGAGATTTTCATGAATCGGAAAGTGAATATTATGAAAGTTCAAGTTGTGAAGATTATGAAAAACCAAAAGGATGCCGACAAAAAGGCGAAGTGAAATTGTATGGAAGAAAAAGAAAGAAATTAACAAAGAACTTGTTCGGTAAAGAAATCGACACATTTGAAAAACTTTTCTCTGATGAAATTAACAAAACATCGTCAAATCTTCATCTTAATATTAATTACGATTCACTGTTTAATGAAGGTGAAATACCAGAAAGTTATTTGGTCAAAGTTAGTGAAATCAGATGGCGAGATTTACTAAATTGTGGTGCTTGCAAAATTCCTTTTGTGAATATAAACGATCTTTTGGATCATTCTGAAATGAAACATAATTCAAGAGAGAAATTATTTCACTGCACACTTTGCAATGGTGAATTTACCGGATCATGTGAAAGTCTTCTAATTAATCATCTTGTTGATCGACACTTTTATGAACATTTGAAATTCTGCTGTCTTGTATGTTCCAAATTATTTTATGATTTACTTTCGCTTGTTAAACATTACAAAACTCATAATGGAAAATTTGAACTTTTGGTCTGTCTTATTTGTGGATGGTATGCAAAGTCACTTGAAGATCTTAAAGATCATAAAGTTTATCATATGTTATCAGAAAAATCAGAGAATCAAAAGCTATGTGAACTTGTGTTTGAAAAGTTTAATTCGCAATCAGAACCATCAATAAGCAATTTATGTGTAGCTGAATTTGAGAAGCTTCCTGATGGAACGGTGACTGATGAATGTCAAAGAAGATTCACTTTAGATTGGAGTTTTGGTAGCTTTCAATGCTCCACATGCATCTTAAGTTTCACAACACCTTTCGACTTGTACGTCCATCACCGATTGAAACATTCAAAAGAAAGTGACAAGAAAATTTATTCATGCACTTTATGCAGTGATAAAAAGGATTACGGAAATATTTTTACATTTGTTAATCACGCAACTGCTAAGCATCTCGATAATGCCAAATTTTGTTGCATTGTTTGCTCAAAAATTCATTGGAATTATTTAACATTGGCAAATCATTACAGAAATGTTCATTCAAATTTTCCCTGCGTCTTCTGTTGCCATTGTGGTAAAATATTTATGAATGTCACGGTGGCTGCTTCGCACTTCAAAGCATTAAATCTCTTAAGGACACCTGAAGAAAGAAAATTATTAAAGGAAGGAAAAATAAGCGAAGAAAAAAATCACATTTGCCATGTTTGTGCGAGAAACTTCAAAAATCGCGGAACACTTTTAAATCATGTTAAAACTCATGAGACTTTAGAACCGTCAGATCTTCTCCAGTGTCACATTTGTAGTAAATTGTAAGTATCCATGATAGGAAATTTATGGAATGTCAAAGTTTTAGCCATTTTATTTTTTATTTTAATAGCTATAAAAATAAATACAAACTTGCACAGCACATGGTAAGAAATTCTTAATTAAACTTCACTATACAGTTTTGTCATTTCTTTTATTTCTTCCTCAGGTTTGCCATGAAGATCTTCGCAGTTGGAAATGTAAAGTTTGTGGACTTGCCTTTAACTATAAGAAACTTATGCTTCGACATATTCAAGTAAGAACTTGAATTTTTTAAGTTAAATAGAAATAAGAATTCCCCTCATTTTAATTGATTTAATTTTCAGGCTGTTCATGAAAACGAACGCCCATTTGGTTGCACATTTTGTGAAAAGAGGTTTAATTCCAAATATGATTTAACAGTGAGTAAAAATAGTAAATAATTCCAAATATTTCTTTTCTAATACATTCATTTTTACCAGGTTCATGTTCGACTTCATACGGGTGAATATCCCTACGAATGTCCAGTTCAGGATTGTGTCGCAAAATATCCAGCATGGAGTAATTTATTTAAACATTGTCAATCACGTCATAAGCTTGACATAAGATCGGAAGGATATAAAAAGTTAAGGGCAACAAAAAAATCTCATAAAGACGAATATGATTCAGAATAAAATCAACACATAAATCAACAAAATTCAATTTTTTTGTCACTTCAAGTTCAACAATAAATATGACTTCCCTGCCTACATTTGAAAGTTTGGTGTTTTCTATTTCCACGATCGTATCTTTTTCAAAACTTAACGGTTTTAAATTCAAAGTGAAATTTGTCAGCTTAAGTTTTCCTTCGAAAGACTGTGTCATCTTGGTTTGTTTACTGCTTATAATTTTGTCGGTAAGAAACATCAAACAATATTAATAAAATGAGTGTTTGTCGGCTTTGTGGAGAACAAAAAGATTTTTTCGAACTCAATATAGAACTAAATGATGAAACGAGTTCACAATGGACATTTAAAGAATTGGTGGAACACCATACCAGAGTTATACTTGAAGGAGACAAACTTTTACCACAAGCAGTGTGTGATGTATGCAGGAATCAAATTGAAATATTTGCAAAATTCTCATCAAATATTCATTCAGTACAAACAAAACTTAGAACTGAAAAAGAAGAAAAATCCATTGACACTTCACAAATAGAATTTATGGAATGTTTTCTTAAACTTGAACAATATGAAGTTAATAATTTAGTTAACGTTTATGACAAAGTTGAAATTCCAATTGAATATCAAGATCAAAGAAACGAAAATTCCATTGACATTCCACATATAAAAAGTAAGGAATGTTTTGTAAGACTTGAACGATGTGAAGTTGATAACTTAATACTAATTACTGACAAAGATGACATTTTAAGTGAAGACCAAGATGGTGCTATAATAAATACCAGAAGATTTCGTAAGAGAACCAGAACAAAAGGAACTGACTTAGAAAAATCATCAACCAAAACTAGAACCAGAGTTTATAAGAAAAAAATTTCTACTATATCACAATTGAATTCAGATTTATCTGAGATAAGTGATGACGAAAGTATAAATAAGAATCCAAGCAAATCTGAGACAGAATCTTCAAGGAATGTGTTTGGCTCTGAAATTAAGTCTTATGAAGAGCTTTTCAAAGATGAAATTGAAGGCAACTCAAGATATAAACTTTATTTACATCTGAATGTTGACGAGAGCTTTAAACTTCCAAATGGAGAAATTCAAGCAGAAGTTGTTGATAAATATTTTCCCCTAAGATGGAAAGACATTTTAATGTGCTCGATCTGCAAAAAGAAATTTGAAAATATCGATGAATTAGAAGATCATGGGAACCAAAACCATGACAGAAAGAAATGGAAAATTATGAGCTCAAAACACGAAGATTTTCCGGGAAAAAGAGATTTCACAAAATTCATAAATCACATAGTAAATTATCTTTTCTACGAAGATTTGAGATTTTGTTGTGTTTTGTGTTCAAAAATGTTTTATGATTGTCTATCAATTGTCGAGCATTACAGAACTCACGGCAAGAAATATTCGAATGTGATGGTGTGCTGTATCTGTGGAATCTACAGAAGAACTTTGAGAGACATGAAATATCATAAAACTGTTCACGTACTGAAAGTGTGGAAAGTAAATCATCAGCCGTGTGAAGAGGTTCACCAAAAACATAAGGAAATGCCCGAAATGAATAAAATAAATCCACAGGTAGCTGAACATGAGAGATTACCTGGAGGAACAGTTACTGATGAATGTCAAAAAAGACTTGCTGTTGATTGGAGTTTTGGAAACTTTGAATGTTCAAAATGCATCTTGAATTTCACAACACTTTTTGATTTTTATATTCATCAGCGATTGAAGCATCCACAAGAAGTTAAAAAGAAAATTTATTCATGCACTTTATGCAGCGACAAAAAGAACTTCCGGAATATTTGCACTTTTTTGAATCATTTAAAAACAAAAGGCCATTTCGAATATTCTGAATTTTGTTGCGTTCTGTGTTCAAAAGTTCATTGGAATTATTTTGCGATGGCAGATCATTACAGAAATGTTCATTCGATGTTTTCCTGCATCTTCTGTTGCCATTGCGGGAAAGTATCTTCAAATGTTGCGTCATTTGTTGTACATATCAAATCTTTAAACCTTTTGAAAACACCTGAAGAAAGTCACATTTGCCATGTTTGTGCTAAAATTTTCTATCTTCGCAAAACACTTGATAATCATCTTAAAACTCATGATACTTTGCAACCATCGGATCATGTTCAGTGTCACATTTGTAGTAAATTGTAAGTAATTGCCGAAATTTAGGGAATGTCAACCGTTTAATTTTTTACTTTATCATTTTAATAGCTACAAAAATAAATACGGACTGGCACAGCATATGGTAAAAAATTTTAATTCCATTTCATGATATAGTTTTTCATTTCTTTAGTTTCTTCCTCAGATTTACCATAAAGATCTTCGCAATTGGAAGTGTAAAATTTGTGGAATTTCCTTTAACCAAAAAAGTTTTTTGAGTCGACATACCAAAGTAGGTTTAAATAACATTTAATTCAATTATAAAATTACATTTTATTCTTAAGGCTGTTCATGAAAACAAACGTCCATTTGGTTGTACATTTTGTGAAAAGAGATTTAATACTAAAGCCGATTTGAAAGTAAGTGAAAAGGCACAAATGTGAAATAAATTCCATCTAATAATTTTTATTTCAAGGTTCATGTTCGACTCCACACGGGTGATTTTCCCTACGAATGTCCAGTTCAAGATTGCGATTCAAAATATCCCTCATGGAGCAATTTATTCAAACATTGTCAATCACGTCATAAGCTTGACATAAGATCAGAAGGATATAAACAATTAAAAGCTACAAAAAAAACACATGAAGACGAATATAATTCAGAATAAAATCAACACAGAAATCAACAAAATTCAATTTTTTTGACTTCAAGTTCTACAATAAATATGACTTCCCTACCTACATTTGAAAGTTTGGTGTTTTCTATTTCCACGATCGTATCTTTTTCAAAACTTAACGGTTTTAAATTCAAAGTGAAATTTGTCAGCTTAAGTTTTCCTTCGAAAGACTGTGTCATCTTGGTTTGTTTACTGCTTATAATTTTGTCGGTAAGAAACATCAAACAATATTAATAAAATGAGTGTTTGTCGGCTTTGTGGAGAACAAAAAGATTTTTTCGAACTCAATATAGAACTAAATGATGAAACGAGTTCACAATGGACATTTAAAGAATTGGTGGAACACCATACCAGAGTTATACTTGAAGGAGACAAACTTTTACCACAAGCAGTGTGTGATGTATGCAGGAATCAAATTGAAATATTTGCAAAATTCTCATCAAATATTCATTCAGTACAAACAAAACTTAGAACTGAAAAAGAAGAAAAATCCATTGACACTTCACAAATAGAATTTATGGAATGTTTTCTTAAACTTGAACAATATGAAGTTAATAATTTAGTTAACGTTTATGACAAAGTTGAAATTCCAATTGAATATCAAGATCAAAGAAACGAAAATTCCATTGACATTCCACATATAAAAAGTAAGGAATGTTTTGTAAGACTTGAACGATGTGAAGTTGATAACTTAATACTAATTACTGACAAAGATGACATTTTAAGTGAAGACCAAGATGGTGCTATAATAAATACCAGAAGATTTCGTAAGAGAACCAGAACAAAAGGAACTGACTTAGAAAAATCATCAACCAAAACTAGAACCAGAGTTTATAAGAAAAAAATTTCTACTATATCACAATTGAATTCAGATTTATCTGAGATAAGTGATGACGAAAGTATAAATAAGAATCCAAGCAAATCTGAGACAGAATCTTCAAGGAATGTGTTTGGCTCTGAAATTAAGTCTTATGAAGAGCTTTTCAAAGATGAAATTGAAGGCAACTCAAGATATAAACTTTATTTACATCTGAATGTTGACGAGAGCTTTAAACTTCCAAATGGAGAAATTCAAGCAGAAGTTGTTGATAAATATTTTCCCCTAAGATGGAAAGACATTTTAATGTGCTCGATCTGCAAAAAGAAATTTGAAAATATCGATGAATTAGAAGATCATGGGAACCAAAACCATGACAGAAAGAAATGGAAAATTATGAGCTCAAAACACGAAGATTTTCCGGGAAAAAGAGATTTCACAAAATTCATAAATCACATAGTAAATTATCTTTTCTACGAAGATTTGAGATTTTGTTGTGTTGTGTGTTCAAAAATGTTTTATGATTGTCTATCAATTGTCGAGCATTACAGAACTCACGGCAAGAAATATTCGAATGTGATGGTGTGCTGTATCTGTGGAAAATACAGAAGAACTTTGAGAGACATGAAATATCATAAAACTAAGCACGTACTGCAAAAATGGAAAGCAAGTTATCAAATGTGTGAACAGATTTATCAGAATCAGAAGGAAATGCCCGAAATGAATAAAATAAATCCACAAGTAGCTGAACATGAGAGATTACCTGGAGGAACAGTTACTGATGAATGTCAAAAAAAACTTGCTGTTGATTGGAGTTTTGGAAACTTTAAATGTTTAAAATGCATCTTGAATTTCACAACTCCTTCTGATTTTTATATTCATCGGCGATTGAAGCATCATCAAGAAGTCGAAAAGAGACTTTACTCGTGCACTTCATGCAGCGGTAAAAAAGATTATGGAAATATTTGCACTTTTTTCAATCATTTAAAAACAAGACAACATTTCGAATATTCTGAATTTTGTTGCGTTCTGTGTTCAAAAGTTCATTGGAATTATTTTGCGATGGCAGATCATTACAGAAATGTTCATTCGATGTTTTCTTACATCTTCTGTTGCCATTGCGGGAAAGTATTCGTGGATAAAGTGGCATTTGTTATGCATATCAAATCTTTAAACCTTTTGAGAACACATGTAGGCAGACAATTATTAAAAGAAGGAAAAATCGTTGAAGGAGAAAGGCACGTTTGCCATGTTTGTGCGAAAATTTTCCAAAATCGTGGAAGGCTCTTGGTTCATCTTAAAACTCATGAAGCAATCGAGCCATCAAAACTTCACCAATGCCCTATTTGTAGTAAAATGTGAGTAATCCATGAAGCGAATTTGAGGAATGTCAAAGAGATAATTCTTTATTTTATCGTTTTAATAGCTACAAAAGTAAATACAAACTTGCAGAGCATACGGTAAGAAAGCTGCCTTTACAAAATAAGATGATTCTACAATTTTACAGTTGGTTTTTATTTTCTTAGATTGTTCATAAAGATCTTCGTAATTGGAAATGTAAAATTTGTGGAAATTCCTTCAACTTCAAAAAGTATCTGGATCGACATACCAAAGTAGGTTTAAACTTCATGCATTTAGTTATGTTGTTAATTTTCTACTCTGATTTTCCTAATTCTTCAGTCTGTTCATGAAAACGAACGTCTATATGGTTGTTCAATCTGTGAAAAAAGATTTAATTCTAGTTCCGATTTAAGAGTAAGTAAAATGGCACAAATGTGAAATAAATTTCATCTAATAATATTTATTTGTAGGTTCATGTTCGACTCCACACGGGTGATTTTCCCTACGAATGTCCAGTTCAAGATTGCGATTCAAAATATCCAGCATGGAGTAATTTATTTAAACATTGTCAATCGCGTCATAAGCTTGACATAAGATCGGAAGGATATAAAAAGTTTCAAGCTACAAGAAAATCTCATGAAGACGAATATGATTCAGAATAAAATCAACATTTAAATTTGTTTACTTTTTTAGAATTTTGAATTTTTAAAAATTGTTGAAAGAATGAAATAAAAGAAATAAAATAATGACAGGCAATGCAATGAAATATCTAAATTCTAAAATAAAATTTTTATTTAATAATTATCTATATAGAATTCTATAAATATTAAAATCTTTAGAATTGTGATGAAATGGTTCTGCAGTGAACTTCACTTTCATTCTTTGTTATTTTAGAGAGTTTTTAAAAATCAGCTGATTAACCTGAGGTGAAACTAACAACAAAAAGAGAAAGGAGAGAATCTTCAGCAATATTTTAGTGTGGTTTGGCTAATTCAGTTGTGATATTTATTACTATTAATTTATCCTTTTAAAATGTCAAATGTGGGTTTAAATTTTAAAACAATTCTTTAAATTAAACATTTTTCATTGATAAATAATTTCAGGTTTTTCCATTACCAAAATATAAGCGAGAATCCCGAAATCTTACGCCATTAAAAGAAAATGTTGAAGATGTAAAAACTCCAACTCAATCTTCATCCAAAAAATACGCGCATGTTCAACCGAAAGTGAATTCTTTCTGGTCACCTGGAGACATGCATCGTGCTGGTGTCAAAAAGTTCTTTGAAAGAAAAGCGTCGCCATCAACTTCCGCTTCAAATTCTGCATCAAGTTCGTTTACAGGTTCGCCCGAAATCGACGAGAAAAAAGATCAGAAAAATAAACGTCGATCGTTCCAATATCAAATATCAGGACCCGATTTCACAGCAAAATTAAACGAATTGAAGAAAGGAGTTATTACTAAAACTTCTACAAGAGAGAACCTTAGAGAGTTAGGGGAGTTAACTTCTTATACACCAGAATCAGAAAAGAAGTAATGGAAATTTTAATAAGCGCATTCCATCACGTTTTCAATTCAAAATCAATAAATTTTGTAAGGTAATCAATCACTCAAGCTTTTTATAAATTGGTCGAGTAAATCTTCAAGTAAATTTTATTCTAATTTTAATGAAGATCTTGAAATTGTGACACATTTTTGTTGCTTTACATTTGAGTTTGAGCTACTTTTAGGATGCTCTGATGACCGAGCCCGACGTTGTTTGTAACTTTTATTTTGAAGAATTGATGGAAGAGTTTTTGATGAACATGCATCGACATCTTTAACAGGAGTTTCATCAAAGTTAGTTATGTTATATTTCTGGCAAATTTTCTTCGTCATGTCAGCGTAGTAGTCACTTGAAAACTTTTTTAAATCTTTCTTCAAATTCGTCATTGCACATCGAATTGTACTGTGCAATTCTGATAATTCATTTTCAGACAACATTTCAATTCCGACTTTGGCAGCTTTATGTAATAAAGAGCCACAATTATTTCGACTCTGAGATGAACTTCGATTACATGAACAATTTTTCTCTGCTTGATTTTTAGTATTTTCGAGACAAGCGATCTTCGTTTCTAAGAAATTAATTTTTTCTCTAAAGCAAGTGATCAAATCAACTTTTTCTATCAATAAATCGTCGTATTTTTGTTTGAATTCCCTCAAACATTTTTTCAACAATTCGATATTTTCTTTTGATTCTTCTGATCTTTTTGATAACGTTGAACTTCGAATGGTTCGATTTGTCAATTGAGTTGCAAGACTTTTAGCGTATTCCTTCTGTTCATTAAGATCAATTTCAAGTTCACATATTTGTTTACACATTTTTTCGATCTCCTTTTTATATTCTTCACAATTGTTATTGAGACCTTCAACTTCTTTTGAACGATCGCTGCATTTGTTTTCAGATTCTTTCAATTTACTTTTAAGTTCTTTACAGCATTCTGGAAGATTTCGTAAAGGTTGAAGATCTTCTAGCTCTTTACAGTTTATTGCTAATTTCTTTTCCAAAGCTGCTCCCTTTTCATTCTTTTCTTCGAGTTGTCTTTCGATCTCGCAAATTTTTTCCTTCAAAGCATCGACTTCCTGTTGATATGAACCATTTAAGTCTTTCATCTTCTGATTCTGAAGACAATCATTTGAGTTTTTCTCCACTTCAATACTATCAACGACTTTTGTCATCTCATTTAATTCAGATTTATATCTCTCAAGTTCACTTTGTAACTCATAATTCTGTTGTCGCAATATTTCAAACTCATTGCATGCTGTTTCTGTTTCTTCATATTGCGTTGATTCATTTTTCTTGTCTTGAACATTATCAGTTTGACGAGATGATGATTTAATTTCATTACAATCTTCTTTTTCTACCTTGATCTTGACTTGCCCCGAACATTTAGAATTTTCTACTTTCGGAGATATTTTTGAGCACCTTTTGTCACATTCATCGGTTTTCGATGTTTTCGTTTCTGGGCACATTTGACTTACAATCGTCTGAACCTTCCCTTTTGGAACGCAATCCACAGCACTCTTTTTATCTGATTTGGTGTCTGCAGCTTGACCTCCCATTCGATGATTTAAGCTTTCAATGTAAAGATCTCGTTCCTTCAAGTCATTCTCCAGACGTTCGATCATATTCTATTAAAATGTTAAATGCTAATGAATAATTATCAAAGATAAAAAAATATCTATTCTTACTATCAGTTCACTTGCATGCAGTTCCGATTCTCTAAGTTGATTTTTAATCGTCTGAAGTTCTTTGCTCAAATCATTCAATTTCATTTCATTTAGTTCAGAATTCACCAACATTTCTCGAAGACATTTTACGTTTGATTCACATTCTTTGTACTTGTTTTTATAGAGAATAAGTTCGGCTTCCATAACGTCACTTGCTCTAGCACGTTCACGAAGAAAATTACTTTCAGCTGCATTCTGATTACTTCTTTTGATCTCACAGTTTAGCATTGCTTCACTTCGTGATAAATCTTCAGCTAACTGATTACATTGCGGGCATCCGGATTGTGATAGCTTTTTAGAAGAATCGTCCCCAGCAGCACCATAGCCACATCGTTGCAATTCCCTTTTAAGACAGCAAATTTCTTGTTCCATGCAATCTGCTTGATCTGCTCGTGCTTTAAGTTTCTTTAAGACGCACTCAATTCCATTCATTTTACAAAGTTGATTCTTCAACTCATTTCTCTCCTTAACGACTTGATCGTATAAATCTGCGCGATTCTTTATGTTCTCCCAGGCTTCATCGACATTCAATGTTTGCGATGAACAGCATTTAAGTTCTTCAATTTCTTGCTTTGTTGACTTAAGTTTCTCTTCTTTAAGCAAATTTTCTTTCTTTAGAAAACTCATACGATGTTCCGAATTTTTTAAACGTTCTTCAAGCACACGTTTATCGTTGATAATTTCATTCATATCTTCAAGCTTTCGCGATGTGTGTTTATAGAGTTTATGCATTTTATCGAGTTCAACGTCTTTAGCCTAGGTGTAAAAATATGTGTAAAGTAATTAATTTAATGAATGATATTTAATTGTTAGTGAAAAAGTTTACTTTGATATCATTCACAAGATCTTCTTTTGCCATTGATTCATAACTTCCAAGCGAACATGCACGAGGAACTTGTTTAACAATTTCATGAATGTATTTCGATTTTTCTTGATCATCGTTCGACCATGCTCGTGGATCTGTCACTGAATCGTATGTTTTCAAAGCAGCATCACTTCTTTTAGGAAAAATATTTCTTGGTTCCTGTAAAATATTGTGTCTTGCATGCAAATTTGAAATATCCATTTTATTGGCTTTTCTCAACTTTTTATTTCACTGAAATCGTTTTTTTCTTTATATTTTACTTAATCAATGATGAAAAAATGTTTTCTCTATCCGTTTATCAGTCGGAAACAAGGACGCAAAAAAACAAAACTTAATCTTTACTCGTTTACTCTCTTCACATAAAATTTGTTTAAATTAGTTTAATTACAAAAAAAAATCATTTTGGGGCTACTAAGATTAAATTAAGAATTTTTCCTTTTTTTCAAATTTTAACAACTTCCTTTGATATCTTGACAATTCATAAATTTTCAATTATTCCAATGAGTTGTCACTTGTAAAAAATATATGTTAATTTAAGTTTAACTTTTTTTTCTATCAGCAAATATTTCTACAAAGCTTTTCTTTTTTGAGATTAATTCAATTTAAAAAAAAAATAGAAAAGTTAGCAGAAAATCGCAGAATTTTTTTTTCTGACGCTTGAAGACGCACGTATGCAACGTAATTATCGTTAACCTCATGTACGTTACGTATCGTTGAGTGCTAACGTTGCGCTAATTTACTTTTCACGTCTTTTTCAATTTTATAATAATTTTAATCCAAAAAAATATTTGTCGAGAAAAACGTGTGGGCGTTACTGAATATTTTCCATAGGATAACAGTCTGTTCAAAATCAGTTAAAAAAATTATTAAATTTTAAAAGTGAACGCCCAACACATGAAATTTCTACTACTTAGATCTCCTTGATCTTCATTGATTTTTTCATTTTGTTTCTAACTCTTAAAGATGCTCATACAATTACCAACTAGCACAATTAAAAATTATAGTGAAAGATTAATAGAAAATGATATCTTATAATAAAAAAAAAACATAATTGAAATAACGCTTGTCTTGGAATATATTCAACCATTCATAAAATCATGACGGACGCGATTAATTTAAATTTAAAAAGAGAAGAAAAAAAATTCACAAGAAAATGCATCCGCCAACAATCCTTGATTAAATATATCTAACATATCCAAAATAATATAAGAAAAATAAAAAGAATAAAATTAAAAAAACTTATACAATTAATTAAATTATTAGTTCCATTTGATTTCTGAATTTTTTTCTTGTTTTTTAGTTTTTTATTTTCATTGTTAGGTGTAATTTGTTAGATGAATCTAATGACATCGTGCTTGCTATCCTTCTTGTTCTGTATCAATCCATTCGGCTAATTTTCGTGCGCACAATTCTTGATTAATAAACAATACATTCTGTAAGAAAAAGAGAAAAGTTTTGTTTACTAAAATTATCGCAACATTATTTATAAAAAATAATTAACAACTCACATCCTTGGTAATTGAAACAAACAAATAAACTTCTGGTATGTCATCAGGTGTGTATCCAGCAATTTGTGCTTGAAGGATGACACCCTGAGTAAAACTACTGATCGTATCAGCAGCCTCTTTTGACCATTCACTGCCGGATGGAGGTCGAATATTGCTCATAACGCATTCTATCGCTTGGAAAGGGACAGTCATAAAATCAGCATGAATTTGTCTCAGCTCTGCTGAATCGACTGTTGAATATCCACCAAAGTCCAAATATTTGACAAGACTTGTCTTTGTCTGAGAATTATGTGATACAATTTGAACACGATACCAGTTGTCCTGATAACAAACAGCACAAATTGCACTATCAATCACATCAGGCAATTCTGGTGCCATTGTCTTTGAGTACCACTGATTCATGCGATATTGCAATGAAGATAAAGCTGGATAAGATGGATGAAGTGGTTGGTGAAGGAATAAATGTCCACCCGATACAATTGCACTGATTGTGACATCATTGTTGATTCCTTCTATGAGTTGTAACTGTGAATTAAAATGGAGAAGATTAATAAATAATTCAATTAGTTAATAAATAATTAATTCATTACACTTAATGTGGAAGCATTGAATGTTGGTACAACTTTGTTATCAGGCGTCACAAATATACGATCCATCGACATGAAAGGATATTTCTTTTCCGGCAATCTCAATCGTATCATTTTAAGTGCAGCATCGACTTCCGATTGTGTACCCTCAATCGAGACAACTTTTTGTTTTTTCGGTCCATGTGAACCTTTACGAACAATCACATTTGCTCCAGTCTTCTCCTTGATGTTTGTGATGATCGTTCCACGGTATCCAATGAGTGATCCTACATATGCAGTTGGCATAACAAAGTCATAAGTTATTTGTGGCGCACCAACTGATTGTGGTGGGCTTGACCCTTGTCCTGAATCACCTGAATGCATACTACAAACAGAAAGTGATGGACTTGCAATTTGTGGTTGTAAGCATGACGATGGCGTTGATTGACATTTTTTCGGCATTTCTGTTGTTGTTGCTACAACTTCAGCATCTTCTTGCATCATAACACATCCATTATCAGTAGTTTTCATCTCCTCTTCTTCTCCTTCTTGTTGACAATGTTGAATGTTTTCATTATTTGTCTCACTCTCATCTTTTGACGTTTCATTTAAACGTCCAGAATCATCCGATTCTGTTTGTGTGTATTTTCTTTCACGAAATGAATTTTCTGGTGAAATTTTAGCTTCCATTGTTCCTTTAATAACAATCGGTTCAACTTTAGGTTGATGACGATTCAAATCAAAACGATCACGATACAAAGGCGAATCAGCTGGTGTTGGTGATTCGTCCCAATCGTTTTCAGGCTCTTCAATATATCGCAAATGCTTAATATCAGACTCTTGTGGTTTCAGCTTTAAAATTTCACAGTCAATTTCTTGTTCGGTGATCCGTTTCGGTGGTGAACGGGGATTTGGTGCAATATCAATTGGTGCAGACTTTCCCAATGATGACGATGAACTTGAAGGGGCACTACCAGGACTTTGAGCTTGTTTTCCAGACGCGTTATTACCTGGTGGCGTTGATGTTTCCTGATCAATTTTCAATTTCAATAATTTGTTGTGATTCTGTTGTGGCGTTCCTATTGGCAATGATTCACTGTGCTGACTATTATGTTGTGTTGAGTATGATGAAGACGATGCTTTATTACTTAATTCCTGATTATCACCTAGATGTTCACCTAATATTTTACAAGATTTGTTAGAATTGCTACTCTTCTGATTTGTACCGCCCGTGTCACAAACGGCACGTCCTCCCTTTTTGCGTCTCAACCAAACGTAACCGATGATCAGTGCTAAACTGGGTAATGTAAGATATAAGATGGGACGATTTGAAATCATTACGTAGTGCCAGATTGGTTATTCTAGAAGATTTCCAAAGAAAACAAGAAGATATAAAATGTTAGATAAGAAATTTCCTCAGAAAAAAAGTTTTAAATTAGATAAGAAGATTAATTATTACATTTTGTTTTCATACGTAGTGCCGCAAATTTACTTAAGTTTTTTTCTTCAAAAATTTTGATAGATACATGAAAATATTTAACATCTGTATAAATAATCAACTTTATCAATAGTATAGATGTCTGAAATTATTTCATCATTTAATGAAAGAAAATTTTTCAATAAATAACAAACTACGTGTCACACTCCAACAAGCGTACTCTGCTGTTTAATTATTTTCGTTTAAGTTTTTCATCCTATATTTTATGTTTACCAAAAAATAACGCCATTATGAACTTCACTCATCAATCAATTCGCTGTTTTACTTGGAAGAATTTTTTTTTTCTGTGTTTATTCGTTATTTTAATTCAGAGAATTTGGAAAAAGACTTTTTTTTGCGATTTTCATTGAAATCAACAAACGAAATGTTTAAACTTGACATTAAGAAATTCCCAGTGATATCATCGTTGACATAGTTATTTATATAATACATATTAGCGGGAAACGTGTTCAGCACATTTGGTTTTATGAAATAAAATCGGGAATGAAAAATATAAGCAAATGATCAAATCTTCACACACACGATAAGAAAGATGAAATGTCGAAGAAGTAAAGTCATTCTCTCAACGTGTTCATACGCTCAACTTGAAAGCAAAACAGCATTTTTAAGTTCTCTTTTTGTAGACGTGTAATATACAACACGAAGTAAAGTAAAAAATGTATGTACTTGATGTTTAATCATCAAACATTCTCATTTTCATTTGATATTTAAAATGAAGCCACGTAACACCACGCTTTCTGTTAACTTTTATCACAATCTAAATGTACTGCTTATTATTACCACCACAATTTCCGCTTGTTTTAAATGTTTTGTGTGAAAGCAATAATATTTGGATATTAATATTAAAAAAAAAAAAACATTTCATGAGTTGTTATGTCAAAGTGAATGAATGAACACTAAAATAGGTTATTAGTTCCTCAATATTGACATCGATGCACGTTTTCTTTCTGTTTCTTTCAGAAAATTATTACGACACTGATAACAAGTCAATAAATAGGAAAAAACGTTTTTCAACACGAAACCTTATCAAGGTTCAGTAAAGAATAGTCGACATTTATCAGCGTTCAATTTACCCTCGTTTGTCATGCGAAATGAATTGATAACTAATGATGCTGATAAGTAATTAAAAATCAGAGGACAACACGATATTACTGCACATTTCAAAGTTGTCCATGTGAATGAATTTTAAACACAAGGAAGTTGATCCAACATCGAATAATAACCGGTACGATGGAAATCATTAAATATCTCATTTCTTTAAAAAATTATTCATTTGTTCAACCTGTGTTGGTAAACTTGTTTAAAAAAAGAATTATTTCAACCAAAGATTCTTCAAAAGAACCTGTTTCTTCTTCTCTCTACATCGTTCCGCAATCGAAACTTATTTTTCATTTAATCTTTCTCTCACCAAGTATTTTTTTTTATATTCTGAATCTTATTTTACGAATTTTTTTTCGTAGCCACTTGAAAATTTGAAATCACTGATTCGAAATGGAGAGGAAAGGAAAAAACGAGCTGAGCTCTAAGAAATTAAATCCGGGGACTTTCCAAATATTACCATCAGCATTACTTGAGTTTCAAGTTGTTAATATGGCTGATATTTTACTTACATTTTCGAGCGAGCACATGGTACCGGTGCTTATATGAAGAAAATATGAATTCCTTCTTCTTTTAGTGAATCAAAAACTTTTCTATTCAAACACTTTTCAACTTTACGCTTTTCTTCAAATAAATTAATTGTTTTATGACTTGATTCACAGTTTTAAGCTCCTGGTGTAATAAATGATAACTGATTTAGATTTTGAGCCAGGAATTATCAATTCACCGACAGTGTTCCTTTCTGAACAAAAAAGCAAATAACGGCAATTATCTGGTTCATACAAACGTAAATCGAGCAATAAATTGTTTTTGGTTTTTTTTTCTACCACAAAAAAAAATAAATTAATCAACGCTTTACAAGTCTTTTTCGATCCGTCATCGACAAATTTTCAACAAGCAATGAGACTTCACTCAATTAAGTCTCGCCGGTTCTGAGAGTGAGAGAACCATGGAACAGTCTAATACACTTTCAAAACCCTCTCTGACATTCACAACTTTTGCAACATCTCATTCATGTTTTACTTATTATACTTCTTTCTTTTCTTTTCTATCTTCTTATTCTTCATTTGAAATTTCTTACAAACGCAATCGTATGGAGAAGAAAAAGCCGGCAAAATTAATATTTGCAAAATTTACAACAACAATGGAACGTGCAATGGAGGAGTAAAAGAGAACGAGTTTCTTTTTGTAGTTTTTTTTGGTTTTTGAGAAATGAGCGGATCGAAATTTCTTCAGAAATGGGAAAAACGAAAATATCTCATGATGTGGAAAGAAGTAAAATAAATGTTCATTCTACAATGCTGCCTTTATGCTGGTACAGGCTTGCCTTTGAAAGTAACAATAACTTTGCAAGGTGGTTGATGAGTTTCAGGAACTCAACATGGACATGAACAGAAAGTTGGTTTTTTAATTCAATCGCCTGCTAAAAGTTTTCTGTGAAATTGCATAAATCAATGTCGTAAATTTATGCAATACTTTCTGATCCAATCATTGGAAGGAAAAATAAATAATATGCTTTAGAAATCATACGCCTTTGAAATCTTAATAAGTATCAAACACGCCCGACTTGAAAACTTCAATAGGCTTCTATTTTTTAATTAAACACCTTGAAAACTTACAGTCAAATGTAATTGAAAGATTTTGAGAAGGGAAAAGAAGAAATAAAAAATGCGTAGAAAAAAGAGAGTGGTGAATGTAGTATAAAAAGAAGTTTTCGTATATATTTTGCGAAACAGACTTAGATGAGAGACCTTAATAAATAATTTTAAATATCTTCGTCTACTCTTCTTTTCTTTGCAATTTCTTTTCGAATCTTCCAAGATCTTTTTATATTTTTAAGCTTTATTTACATTTTTCGAGAAACTTCTTGTTGTTGTTAGTTTATCATATCAATGCGTTTGTTTATTTGGTACAATCAGTTAGAGAAATATTTTTTCTCTTCAAATGTCCAAGGCCGATTTTTAGCTTTTTTGTGTGCTATCGTAAGTTTCACACGGTACACGGTAAAGAGAACCGTTCAAGAGTGATGGGATTATGAGAATCTTATAAAATAAAATATTCTTATCGATTCATATGTTTGTGACTTTTGATAAATAAATGTAACCATTGAAACTTGATGATGCATTCATATTTTTTCTTCTTGCAAACTGTACCAAAAAGATATCATCTTATAAATAATGAAAATATTCAATAAATTTCTCTAAGCTTTAGTGAAATATTTAATAATAATTTCACTCTGCACATTCCGTCATTAGAAAAAAATGTACTTGAAAAAATGTGAGCATGGAAAATTCCTAAGAAGGTACGAGCGTAAGCAAGAAGCAAGCGAAGAAAATAGACGGAAAGAAAAATCAGAATTAAAATATTTCAGGTTATGGCATTCATGTCTGTTTAAAATACCTAAATTTGGATTTTTATCTTAATCATTGTAATACATTGGCAAATCAATGATTATTTTTAGAAAATTCAATGCGTTAAATGCGAGTGAGAATAATGCCTCGAGACAAATTTGATGAAAATACATTTCGTTTCGATACAAAAAACTCTTCCGAAAATTTAATTGATATTATTTTGGTAAATAAAGTAACTTACTTAGTAATTTTGAATGATAATAGATATCCACAAGGTTTGTGATAAGTTTTCCTTTGTTTTCACTGGTTTGCTAGTGCTTTAAGTCACTAATTTTATTGAAATAATGCTAGCGCAAAATCACGAAAACGTGTGAAGAATTCTTCTACGTGATTGATTTACTTTTACACCCCTTTTGCGTGATGACGGGGTGTACAAGTTCAGCCATTTTAATTGTAATTTTTACTTTGTAAACAAAACATATTTATGATGTTTAGACTAAAGTTTCGAAACAATTCAATAACTAAAATATTCAAAAGATATTATAATAGCGAAAAGAGGACAAATCCTCAAGATTCTATAAGAAACATTGGAATTTTAGCTCATATCGATGCCGGTAATTTTTCTCATCATTTGTCATTTAATTCACTTTTTTGTAATGATACGGTAATGATTTTCAAGGTAAAACAACGACAACTGAACGTATGTTATTCTATTCGGGTAAAACAAGAAACCTGGGTGAAGTGCATCATGGAACAACAGTTACAGATTATTTAGATCAAGAGAGAGAACGCGGCATAACAATTTGTAGTTCTGCTGTTACCTTCATGTGGAAAGATCACAGAATTAATCTATTAGACACACCTGGTCACATTGATTTTACAATGGAAGTTGAACAATCTTTAGGTGCTGTCGATGGCTGTGTAGTAATTTTAGACTCATCTGCTGGTGTTGAAGCTCAAACTGTTACAGTTTGGAATCAATCTGATCGCTATGAACTCCCGAAAATTATTTTTGCGAATAAGATGGACCGAGCCGATGCAGATTTTGAAGGATGTGTTGAAGATGTTCGAAGAAAACTTCATGAATGTCCAATACCATTACAATTTCCATTTAAAAGTGATGGAAAATTAAAAGGTTTAAAGGAAATTTCTTAAATTAATTCAAAAATTAATAAAATTTTAGTTTTCAGGCATCATTGATCTCTTGACTATGAAAAAAGTGACTTGGGATGTCAAAAATCAAGGTCAAAGTTATAAAGTTGAAGATATCAGAGACAACAAAGAAATGAAGGAGAAACGTTTGGAAATTGTTGACAAACTTTCTGGAATCGACGATCAGCTGGCTGAAAAGATTATTGTTGAAAACAGCCTCGAAACTATAAGTCTCGATGTTTTACTGAATAGTCTTCGAAGACAGACAATAAGAAGAAAGATTGTGCCCATGTTTCTTGGTTCAGCCTACAAAAATACCGGCGTTCAACTTCTCATGGACAACATCATAAATTTCCTTCCAGCACCAAATGATAGGAACCAGGTTTATGATTGTTTTGATGACAATTTCGTTGGAACTGTTTTTAAAGTTACTCATGATAAACAACGTGGAGCGTTGAGCTTGGTTAGGATATTCAGAGGAGAAATAAAAAAAGGTGCTCGTATCACGACATCTAATGGAAAAGGTGAAAACATTCAAAAAATTTATGAACCTCTTGCTGACGAATATAAAGAAATTGATTCGATTGGAGCTGGAAATGTCTGTGCATTTGCTGGTTTAAAATCAACAAAAACTGGCGATGTTCTTGTGTCGAGTGCTTCTTCATTAAAAAATGCACAATCAAAGCTTGAAAAAAATTCTGCTAGCGAACACAGTACTTTTAGTTTAGAGCCCAATATTCCAGATGCTGTTTACTTTTGTTCAATAGAACCACCAAGTGTGGCATATCAAACAGCACTTGATAACGCATTGGAACAAATTCAAAGAGAAGATCCAAGTTTAAGAGTGAAATATGACGAGACAACTCTGCAAACAGTATTGGGTGGAATGGGAGAACTTCATCTTGAAATAATCAAATCTCGTCTTCTCACTGAATACAAAATCGACGCTGATCTTGGTCCTCTACAAATAGCTTACAAAGAGACAATCGAGGATGAAATAACAAATTCAATTCGATGTGAAAAAGAAATCGCCGGTAACAAGCAACTTGTGGAAATTGGAATGACACTCGACGTTAAGCAGCCCGATGAGAAAGAAATCTTTCGATTAGATAATTCACCAGAAGCTTCTGAAATTTTAACACCAATTCGACCAAAATATATTCAACTAGTGAAAAAAGCAGCAATCAGTGCATTGGATCGTGGACCAAAGATTGGTGGTGAAGTGATCAATGTTAAGATTAAATTAAATAATTTAGTAATTGGTCGTGGAACTGCTGATGCTTTTATTATGTCAGCAGCAACGCAATGTGTTCAAAAAATTCTTCTGCAAGGAAATAGTCGATTATTGGAGCCAATGATGTCAATTCAAATTATTGTTCCATCTGAGAAAGTTTCACCAGTGTTAGCTGACTTAGGACGGCGAAGAGCTCAAATTTTAAATGTTTCAATCCGTGGTGAAAATAATCGCGTAAGTAAAACGATTTCACAACTTGTCTTGTTTTTTACTAAAAAATTTATTTTCTGACTCATCATTTAGGTCATTGATATCATTGCACCACTTGCTGAACTTACTGGATATTCAAGCATTGTTCGAACAATTACATCAGGAACCGCAAGCATGTCAATGCAACCTCACGGTTACAATTTACTTTCAATTTCAGAACAAGAATCCGCTATAAGACGAGCTCAAGGATTAGAATAAAAAATTTATTTAAAATTATCTAGATAATTTAACTAATCGAAGCTTTTTTATTTATTTCCTTGTTTTTCTTTCTTCTCACTTTCAAGAATAATTCTTTTGAAGAGAATGTTTGAATCTAAGTCGACTAATGGATGGGAAACTTTTCTTAGGTAAAGTTTTGTGTCTCTCCATAATCTTTGTTCTTGGGGGATGTTGAGACGTTTTAAAAGTCTTTCAGTGAAATTTGGGATGATCGGTTGAAGAACAATTCCACAAATTCTCAAAGACTCCATTGTTAGGCTAATTATTGTTTCTAATTTTCTTTTATCATTTGCACTTCCATTTTTAAACTCCCAAGGTTTGGAAGATTCAAAGAAATTGTTAGCAGAGTGTAAAGTTGTCATGACCGAATCGACAATGTAATGAAAGTTGAAACAAATGAAGTTCTCCAGACATTTTTCAGGTAATTCTGCAATCTTTTCAATGAGAATTTTACATGAATCCATCTTGACAATATCATTCAGTTGGTCATTATGAATTTGAGGAAATATTTGCTGAGGATTTAAACTCTTTGCACAAGCTCTTGATAAAAGATTTCCAAACGTGTCAGCAAGCTCAGAATTTAATGTTCTAACAACTTTTGTGTCGCTGTAATCTGAAATAATTTATGTTAAACCTTAATAAGTATCAAAGAAATTACAATCTTACTTCCATCATTATATGGAACACCTTCCCTCAGAAGAAAATATCGAATCCCTTCCATTGTATAAATCTCAGAACGTTCCGTTGGATTAACAACATTTTGCTTACTTTTCGACATCTTTTGACCATCAACAGTCCAATGAGAGTGAACCAACAATTTCTTTGGCGGTTCAAGACCAGCTGCAATCAGAAATGCAGGCCAATATATTCCATGAAATTTCAGAATGTCTTTGCCAATAACGTGAATATTCGGTGGCCAAACTTTGAGTTCGTTGGGATATCCAGCAACTGTGAGATAATTTGTAAGGGCATCAAGCCAAACGTAAATTTTCTGCGAAGGATCATTTGGTACTGTGATGCCCCATGACATGCGACTGCTTGGCCTTGAAATTGATATATCTGGTAATTCTTCTTGAAGCATGTCTAAGAGAATTTTATTGAAAACTGGAGGATCAATGTGGTTTCTAAATTTATGGAAACAGAATGTAAATGTTTGTTCAGAAATCAAATAATACTATTGAACTTACCCTTGTTTTGCCCAATAAATAACATCATCTTGATAATCACTAAGCTTGAACATATAATTCTCCTCTTCAGTCCATTCCACTGGATGCCCCGATTCTAATGAAACTTTAACACTGTTCTTCAATTCTAACTGCGATTCGGTGAGAAATGTTTCATCTTGTACACAATACCATCCTGAGTAAGTGTCCTTATAAATAGCATTCTGTGAGCTTAAGACATTCCAAAATTTCCACACTGCTTGCTTATGTCTCTCTTCAGTTGTTCTTATAAAATCAGTAAATTCAACTTGACTGGCTTGAAAAAGTTTCTTATAATCTTCAGAAATATTTTTGCAATATTCATCAATGGGAATGCCTTTTTTTGATGCAGCTTGAAGCACTTTCATTCCATGTTCATCTGTGCCTGTGCTAAAAATGTTGAGATTGTTTGTTGATGTTAATTTTTCAAAGCGATTAATTGTGTCGGCAATAACCGAACTATAGAGATGTCCTAAGTGTGGAGCTAAAATTGCAGTTTTTCAGTTAATCTTGTGAAATAAACTTGATTTAAAATATTTACAAGCATTTGCATAGTAAATTGGAGTAGTGATTAGATATCCATTCGCTTTTGATGAAAATCGTCTTAAAAACTTTAAAATTTTCATAATGTTGTCTCCTCAGAACTTTGTTTTCATTTCCAAGAGGATAAAATTCTTTGTTTTGCAAATTCATTGCGACGTTCAATTTAGGTAATTATTAAAAATAAATTTTGACGTTGAAAACATGGTAGTGTCAACAGATCCTCAACGTGAGCAAGTTTTGAAACTTATTGGGGAAAAGGAAAAAGTTGAAAAGAAAATCGCTGACTTAGGATTGGTACTTCAGACGGTGACAAATTATTCTTAAAAATTTCAATTGGTTTATTATTTAGTTCTCTCCTTAATATCTAGAATAAAATTGGTTTTGATGAACCATTAGTTGATGCTGAAGGCTTTCCAAGAGGTGACATTGATGTCAGATCTGTACGTTTAGCAAGAACTCAAATAATTTGTTTGCAAAATGATCTCAAAGAATTGACTAAATCCATTGAATCTGGATTGGAAAAATACTTCCACGAGTCAAAAGAAACATTAACATCAACAAAAATCCCTCCAGAAATAAGAAATGCATCACCAGATCCATCTACATCGACATCTCATTCGACAGAAATCAATCAAACTCCAATTGTTGTAGTAAATCTCGTTTCACCTGGAAGCCCTGCTGAAGATGCTGGTATCCAAGTTCGTGACAAGATCCTTGCGTTTGGAACTATAACATCCCTCAACTTTAAAGATCTGGCACAGATTGGTGACCTGGTAAAGAATTCACAAAATCAACAAGTTCGTGTGAAAGTAAATCGTGACAACAAAATGGAAGAGCTCATTTTGGTTCCGAAAATATGGTAAATTTTGAATTCAAATGACTTGAGCGAATTAAATATAAAATCGTCTCTGTTTTCAGGAGTGGTCGTGGATTTCTCGGTTGTAACATCGTTCCTTATTCTTCAATTTAAATTCAACAACATTCTGAAGATCACTTAAAAACTTTTTTTTATTCTTTCATTTTTCTTACAATTGATGAAGCATCTGGTTGATGAATGTGTCAAAAATATTGGGAAATTGAAAAAAAGTTATGTTTCATTGGATTGATGTTTAGAATAGAGAAAAAAATTATGCTGTGTTTTAAAAACTACTGGCAAATAAAGCGAAAAAAAATTAATATCTATAAGAATAAACAGATTAGTGTTTAATTTTTCAGTACGATGAACCGTAATTTCCCCACTGGTTACCGTAACCATACGCGCCTTGTTGGTAATAACTCTGTTGATTCCAATCGTACTGTCCACTACTAGCATAATTTGGATAGCTTGAGCTACTGTAATGTCCTGAGCTTGAACTGTAATTGTAAGGAGTGCTTGAATATGGATTTCCATTGTTAGATGAAGGTGTCTCCTTCGACTTCTTAACGACATTTGATTCGTGATCACTGTGAACAAATGAAAAATTAAATAATATTTATAAGTTTATTCAAAAAGTTTTTCAACAAACCTCGATTTCTTTTTACTCTCTTTGGTTTTTTCGAGAATAACTTGAAGAGACTTTTGAGCATCCTGCAAAGCAATGACAGAGCTACCAAAATCTTCCAAAAATTCAACTTTCCTTTGAGCGAAAAGCAATTTCTGATCAAGTTCTAAACTTTCTTGCTTCATGAAATCATCAAGAATGCCCAAAATTTCTTTTTCATCAACATTATTTCTTTGCAAAGCGAGATCAATGATTTGTAATGCAATTCTTGTGTTCAATGGATCTTTGTCAAGAGCACCTTTCAAACATTTCATAGCTTCATCATAATCATTCAAAATTTTATTTAAAAATCTTGCATATTTGATGACAAGCGATGCTGTAATATTTTTATTCTTCGACATTATAATGTAATGTTCATAGAGTTGCGTTGATTTCTTCAAATTTCCATGACGTCTTTCAAGATTGATACGGAAATAAGCAACTTGAAGAAGATTTGGATGTATTTTATCTAAATTCTCTAAAATTTCAGATGCTTTCTTAATATTTGAATGGGATTCCTCAAAAGCAGCCCACATCATCAACAAACTTGGTTTATCAGGATGATGTATCGTACAAGCACGAACAAAAACATCGCGTTTTTGTGCTTCAATCTTGGAACTGTCTCCTTGGGTTTCAAGATAACGAATTAATTTCAACCAAAATTCTTCGTAAAGTGCACAAGCAATCAAACAACGTTCAAATAACACCAAAATGCGCTTTTCATCACCTTGTTCGATCTCAAAATCAAGATATTCTTTCCAATTCTTCAATTGAATTCTTTCCAATTGTTTGACATGAAAATATGGTCGTTTGATGCCTTCTTCAAATGTCCATCGCTTATTGATCATTTCAACTGTTGCCTTGTTAATTTTCTTTCGTTTATTTATGATTAACTTGCGAATAGCGTCAGCTTCTTCTTCACTCCGAACATGGTCATTTGGTTCATCTTCTCCTGGTGCTAAATCATCGATGTCTCCAACATTTGCCTCACCTAACTCCTTACGAACTTCGTCACGCAAAATCTTGAATTCCTCAACTGACACCAACTTATGAACTGGATTGTTGTTATTCACCAATTCACGGAAATTATCCCAATGAGTTTTATATCCTTGAGTTGGTGTTGATAATAAACGATCGTAAATGTTCATAATGTTGTGAAAGTTTTTTTCTTCGCCTTCCCATTTGATGTAACCGTCCCAAAGCTTTAAGAATATTTTTATTATCATATGTAATTATCGAAAAAGAGCTAAATAAACATTTCAACTGACCTTATCTGATCGAAACTCCAAGCCGCATGCATTCAAAGCCCTTTCAAATTGAGATCTGATAAAGTCACGATCGCCTTCATGTTTTTGCTTTACATGTGTCAAGTAATGAATCCATAAATCAATACTCAATGGAATCGCTTTAAGTCCACGCTCAAAAACCTTCACATTGCATAATTCATGTTCAAAAGATTTTTTAAGTTATTTTGTTTTAAACAAAAAGAAATTTCACCAAAAAAGAAAGAAAAAATGGAAAAGAAGAATGATTAGTTAAGAAAATCTCACGACGAGAGCTGTGAAGAAATCCCAATAATATTAAGATGAAAAAAATGTAAAATCAAATTTACTTTCCATGAAGCATCTCTTTTTTGTCAAGATGTTTAATCTCCATGAAACCCTCACCTTAATGGCCAATGAATTTCTTACATCTAAACAAATTCTTAAACTTTTAAAGCTAACTTAACTAGCAAAAATCTCATTACATATCATTTGTGGTAGAAACACATTTTTAAAATAATATTAAATTGAATAAAAATTACAATATATTTTGCACCGTGAATTTAAAGTATCTATCACAACACGAATTTCATTTCATACTTACGCTGAAGAAAAACCAGTGCGAGAATAAAAAGATAAGTTGATTGTGCTTTTAAAAAGTTTTTTTACACCACAAGTTTCTTTATCTTTGTGAAATTATCACGAGAAAGAAAATAAATTGTTTTGAGTTGTTGCTTCATCAAAGATTAATTACAAATAAATAAACAAAAACGACAAACACTTGAATAGAGTTTTTAGTAAAAATGAAAGTGAAAATAGAAATCAGAAAAGATTCATCATTTACTAAATTTCCATTCAACAACAAAATGACAATGTAACATTTTCAAATGACTTCCGTTGTATTTTTGTTTGCTTTTTTAATTTAATTTAATTTCTCTTTTTCTTCTTCATCTAGAATGTTATGTTAATAAAATATCACAATACGTTCAAAAATGTGTTTTAAAACTAATCAGATATGCTCTCAATTGCTACTTAGGACAACAAACATAGCAAGAACTGTGCAATCGAGAACAGCAACATAAAATTAATTTGACAACACGTTCAATAATTCTCATATAATAAATTTTGTTTTAAAAAAAATATAATTTTTCAGTTTTTTACTCTCAATGGGCTCTTTTAATGTTGAAGGTTGATAATCGGAATCAAGCGCGTAGTTTAATGGGACAATTGCAGTGACAGACAGAGATTTTTCTCTCGTCCCGAAAGCGTTACCTCCACAAGACAATCAATAATTCGTGTGTCGCAATACACAGCTGTTAAATAATTGGTTTTCGTTTTGAAAATGTCAAAATGTTCATAATTTAATTTAAAAATAAATTCCTTATTCTAATCGCGAACATTTGATGCTTTGCTCGATAGTTTAATATAATAAAAAAATTGTAAAATATTTTATGTAATTTTCACTCACCTCTTCACACTTTTCCGGACTTCCTTTCTTCTTCTCATAGTCTGCATATTTACGCCAATAACCATAACAATAGCAATAACGTGATAAAAAGCTATCATAAGCTTCTCTTGCTGCTTCTGGGTCATTTTCTGAATCGACATATTGAAGTAAATATGTCCATGCATTGAAATCTTCACGATCAGCTTTTACTGCTTTCCAGTATTTCTCCAAGTCTGGGAGTTTGTATTTTGGCTTTTCATCAACTACAAATTGAGATGTTTAAAAAGGAAAAATAAAACTATTAGTTATTACTAACTAACCATTGGTTTTAACTTTCTTTTCCTCTGCTTCATCAGTGGGTTCATTTGGATCATAATCTTCATGCTTTCGTTTAATATCTCGCTTTAGAACTGGAAGTTCATCTTCAGAAACAACTTCAGTGTCAGCTGGTAATTCCGCCATTTTAGGTCCAGGTAATTCTTCGTCAGACACTTCTTCAGCATCTTCAACCTTTGCTTTTTCAGGTCCTGGTAGTTCATCTTCGGAAATATTTTCGTTATAAATATTCAAATTTTCTGCTGTTTTCGGTCCAGGCAGTTCTTCATCGGATACTTCTTCAGCATCTTCAACTTTTGCTTTCGTTGGTCCTGGTAATTCGTCTTCAGAAATATTTTCGGCGTCCAAATCAGTTGCATGATCTCCGGGTTTGGTTTCTTCACTTTGAGCAAATGTGTCTTCACACAACGATTTGTCATTCGATCTATCGTTCATTTCATCTTCAATGAATTCCTTCATTTGATTGCTGTCACTCTCGAGCTGAGCTTTATTCATTGAGTTCTCATCGATTCCAGATGGAAAACTGTTAGCATTTTCTAAATCTGCTAAATCAGCAATAAATGTCTCTTGTTCAGTTGTTTCATCAGTTTGATTAGTTTCCTCTTTTTCATTTGACTGCTGTTCGTAAGTTAAATTGTCATCGTAACAATAGTTAGAACTTCCATTGTCGTCATTCGTTTGAGGCATTTCAGAATGTTGTTGATAAAAGTCTTCTCCATCAATTTCATTTGTTTCCATTGGTGTTTCCTGAATATCTTCAGCAGAATTATCGAGTTTACTCTCAATCACCATCTCGTCATTATGTTGTTCCTCTTCTTCGATGTTCTAAATTTGATATGAAAAAAAAGAAAATAATTTCAACCTCAAAATAAAAAAATCTCATCATTATAAAAACTGAATGTTATCAGTTGGCCCTTGCGATAACTTCCTAACATTTTCTTACGAAAGCAAAAAAATTGTTCAGAGACAGCGGAAAAATCTAATCAACGCATGTCTAGGATGCAATTCTTATCATCAAAATTGTTTTTTTCTACTTTTATCTAATGGTTACTTTGTTTTTAAGAACTTGCCTGAACTTTTCTTGTTCTGCGAGAAGCTCGAGGAGTAGCTGGTGTTTCCTGTAGAGGTTTTGATCGTGTTGATCTCGTTCTTCGCCCACCTTAGAAAATAAAAGAAATAGGTATTTACGAAATTGTAAACGTAATGTTTTTAGGCGGCAATTTTCATTGCTGATTTTCATAGAGATTTATACTTTGTGGAACTTTTACCGAATTATAATAGAATTTATAATGTATCAAACGTTTGATTTGTAATCTTTTAAGAAATTGAGAATGCTTTATTATGAAATAAAAAAATATTCACCTTCGTCAGCCATTTTTTACTTCTCGCGTTTTTTTTCCAATTCAACAATCAGGGCTTAACAAGCAAAGTTTATGTTCAAAGACTTTCAGCAATGTTGAAGAAAATGTTTTCTTATTTATTATGCAATCAAATAAGACTTGTGAGAATAGACTGATTAATCATAATTAATTAAAGAACAATTCTGATTCGTTATTTTTATCAGTTTAATTAAATTAAATAATCAACTGTGGGAAGCGAAAATTGTTGCTATTAACAACTAAGTAGAAGCTTTCACACCTCTGATTGATGCTTGTGGGGGGTCTAATTCTTGTTACACGTGGGGGTGCGAACATACTAACACTTATCTGATTTCTTTGATTTAATTATCAACATATTCATTTAATGTCATGAATAACAATAAAAATAAATAGTTCTAAAATTAGTTACATGTTTTATTGATAACTGTAACATTATCATAAGTTCATTAGATCTTCTAAAATTAATCAATTCAAAAAATGTTGATCCGACAAGTTGGTTTACAGCTCAGGAGTCCTAATTATCAGAGTGCACCTCTGAATTCTCTAGAGAATTAATTAAATTTGCTCATGCAGTCAGTACATAATCTCTCGCTACTTAGATCGGCTTAAGTAAATTACTAGTGTATAAGTATCAAGAAATAATCAAAGAATATAATAAGGGAGGAATTACACATGCAAATTATAAGTAAAATGAAAAACAAGATGGATATTGGAATGTTTTGATAAAAAAAAACAACGAAAATTTGGTGCAAAGAGAAAAGTAAAGAATAAATATTGCATTGCAATACTATATGCCCATATAGAGTGGTTCTTGATTGAAAAACAAGATAAAACATAAATCCCTGATATAATCGGTATATCAAATAAGGCAAAAATTAAAGAAAAGAAATGGCATTAAGTTGGTTGAGACATAGAGAAGTGTTTGGATCTTCAAAATCTCGAACTGGTGACTTTGCAAAAATCTACACAAGCCTCTATACAAGCATAGGACCTCAAGCGCATTCACATCAAGATTTTGGAGGCATTTTCAATTTAGAGTTCTCATCAGACGGGTGAGTTTAATATTTAATCTTTACAAAATTTATAATTTCCTACGACGCTAGCACGTGCCGCATAAGCGAAAGAACGCTAAACTTATAAAAGCGATGAAACAGAAACTTTAAAATCGTAAAAATGTAATGTGTTTTCATTATTCGTGTATCCGCGTCACTACGTGAATAAAAAACGCTAACTTGTAGTGATTTGTCATATGTATATTTTAATTACTTTCCTTTTTGCTTTGAAATTACTCAGTAACACAAGCTCTAAGCAATGTGGAATATAGAAAAGTAATTAATGAGGCATCTGATAGTCTGTTACGGCAATCAAATAGATATTAACAGTGTGTTAAATTTCCAAGTAATGAATGAGGTAGTTTCTAAATCTATTCGTCGCGTTAAGCGGTTTCTTGTGTCATGTTTCCAAAAAACTACATTTATCCACAGGCGAAATAATGATTCCACTTATACAAGTTGGCGTTTACTATTTGATAACCTGTTAAAACAGATATTCCATTCAACAAAGTTCTTGAACTTAAAATATTTCTTATTCAAGAAATTCTATAAATTTAATTTTTTATTACATAAAGAAATAAAAAAATTAAAGAAGTTAAATAGCAGTTTAGCGATTTCACTCGTAGGTTAAAGAACCGATAAATCAATTGAAAAAGATTTCCTGATCTTACTAATCTTACAATTTACATTGTGGACAAGAACCGTAACAAAATATAGTGAATTATCGTGGCAAGTTAATCAACAGTCAACACACAGCTGATTCTTTCTTTCACGTTCCTTTGTCTGCAAGCTTCATTCATTTATAGATAAACCACATGACGGTTGTTTGGATAATACATGTAAATTTTTTATTTACTAAACGATTAACAGTCTAGTATAGAATACAAAAAGTTTCACATATCAACTCGATTAGTAATACTTCGATGCAAAAGACCAGATGTCTTTAATGGAATATTGTTGTTTTACTATCAAGTTCTTCTCATTTTGAACTGTCGTATTAAAAATATCAATTTTGTTGCTATAAAGTGACTCCAACAACAATGTACACAAAATGAATTAATAAGTTTTTTGAACGGGTCTTTTCACGTTGTTATTTTTATGAAACTAATTAAAACTTGTGAAAAGTGTCCTATGCATTGCCTATTGACAAAAAAACTAGAACGATTTTTAAGAAGAAAAGCAGGTCATGATTGTTTAAAAAGTTGACGTACATTAATGTTGATGTCACTGTCGCTTGCAGTTGCTATCTAAACTAGGTTGTAGATAATAACATTCTGAGTTATGTAGACATAACGTGTTCTTGTTATTATTCTTACCCGTGAATAATTAAACGTTAAGTTTACATTCTCAATGTTTGATAAATTATTTTTATAAGATTTAAAAATAAATGTAGAAAGATCAATTAATCAACTTTATTACATGTAAATTGTAAACTCATTGAATTAGAAAATATTTTCTATTGCAAATAAATAAATCAGATCTTATTAATAATTTTTTGCATGATTTCAAGCAACTCTAAACTGAATCATAAGTGTTCAAAATATAAGTTGATTAAGCTTTTGAAACTTGATTCAACAGTTCAACCGCCAAGTAGAAATCTTTTTAACGAAATTCTATGCAAATTCAAAGCGATATGTGATCACGTTTAGTTAAAAAAATCTATAAAAAGGTTTAAGTTTGTGTAGAATATTCTTGAATGATTAAGGAAATTAAATGTTTTGCTTGTATGCTTTAGCTTGTTATTAATCACAACCTAACTGCATTTTTAATACAGGCTGTATTTAAATAGTTTCGATAGAATTCTAACTTTTTGAAGGTCGTCTGTCATCTGATACTTAAAACATTCAAGTATAAATGCACATAATATCTAATATAAATGCATTAAAATGAAAAAACTGTATTTTTCACTTTGATTTATTGAAAATATTTTTCTTCCCTGATTTATGATTATTTACCTGCTCATACTTATAAAAAGTAAATAAAATAAATTGTCTCTTTTCATCGATTACTTATTAAGGCGTCACTCTCGTAAATCATAATGTTAATTATTTCATAATTATCTGAATGTTTCTTTTATTTTTTTAAGATCAATATTGATAGCAGCGTGTGAAAAGAAATCAATTATCTTGTTTGAAACATCAAGTCGTAAAAAGATCGAAACACTTGAAAATGTGCATTCTGATGCCGTTAATTGTGTCAAGTAAGTAACTCACTTAATTAATTTGCTAAAAAAGTATAGTTTTTAACTAAAATGTAAAGATCTGTATCTGAGAGTTGAATAAATATGTAACATTGAATAATGTTGAGTTAATTTAAAAAGTTTTAAGATAATCTGTAAAGATTATAAACAGTATTTAAGTAGTAGTGCACATATTTAAGAAGCTTAAGTTCTGAATTTAAAATGTACAGAATGACTGCATCAGCTTTTTGTATTTTCTTATCGCTTTCTTCCTTCCTTGGAATTTTCCTTGTAATTGTTTTCATTGATTATTTATATTGCTCTTTTTTTATCTCTTACTATTTCTTAAAACACTTTTGATTTTATGTAATGGTTAATAAATTCAGTAATAAAAACGAGAAAAATTATATGAACTCGTCTAATGTTAACATTGACCTTACTTCCACGCACTTGAAAGTATCAACTATGTAGCTTCAAGTGCAGCATTGTAAATACGATATTTGTCTATCGGTAATATTATTTTTTCAGATTTCTCGACGATCGCTTATTTGCGACATGCTCTGATGATTCAACTGTCATTCTATATGACACGAGAAACCTGAAAAAGAAGATTAGAACACTTCGAGGACATTCAAACTGGGTAAAAAATATTGAATATAGTAAACGAGATTGTTTACTTGTGACATCTGGCTTTGATGGATCCATTTTCACATGGGATCTTAATTCATACACGGAAAATAATTTGACGTATCAAAAAGTCTTTCACACACCAGGTAAATTATTATGCTCTGATAAATATAGATAAAATTATTAATAACTTTGCTTAGGACTGATGCGATGTCGACTATCACCCGATGCAAGTAAACTCGTCATTTGTACAACCGGTGGATACTTAATCATTATTCACGACTTAGATCTAAGCACACTAGCAAGAGACCTCGCAGGTTTTCGTGTAAGTAATTACTTAAAATATTATATCAAATTACATGTTACAACAATTTAAAATATAATTTGGTTGGTTTTAAAATAATTAAAGTCTGAACTTACAAATCAATTACCTAATAAACTTGATCATGATATAAATCATAAAAAAAACTCCAAATGAGTATATTAAGTGGCTCATAAATAAAATCACGTTAAATTGAGCGTAGCCTTTTGCGATTCTCTTCTTTTTTTCGATGCTTAAAATAATAAATCTTATCCAGTAAATAGAATCATTGTTCTCAAGTCGAGACGTCAGAAGTAGTAAATCGTCAATTTTCAAGTTCATTAACGCGTTCGATGGAAATACCGGATTTCTTTAGCCACATGCCCAACTACTAATTGAAGCGAGACCACAAATATTAAACACTTGCAAATCTTTTTTCGTCTCTCTTTAGTTGCTGGAGATTTCCTAACATGACTTTATTTCCTAGGAATTTTTAATTATTCTCATTTTTATATCTTTACAGCCAAATTTATATCGACTGATGCAAGTGAGACGACAATATTTACCAATTGCATCGAAATACGACCATTTATTCAGTAAAAATCAAAAATCTAATCGTGTTGAGCTTGTCAGTGATTTTCCAAAGGGAAATGATGCGGAAGTCATTAGCTCTCTACAGGTACTTAATAGAACGATTATGGTGACCTTTATAACAAGTAATTATTATGCAATTTATTCTCTTATTAAAGATTCATCCATTCGGCTGGGGTGCATTATCAAGAAACAACAGTTACGATGAGAGTTCAGAATGGACATGCATACATGACATTCAAGAGCTTGATACTGATGACGATGAACCACCGATTTCGGAATATCTTCAAGAGAATTTATTCAGTAATCATCCACCTGATGGAAGTGAAACAAATTCAGAAATCGTTCCATTCAGTAGTAATGCAAGCAACAACAGTGATACGAGTGTAAGCAATGAAGCCAGCAGTACAAGTGATCAATCAAATCGTCCCTCAAATCCAAATCCTCCTAACATTCAAATTGATCCACCATCAGATGGCGATAATGATGATGGTCAAGGACAAAATGGTGATAGCGAAGATGAAGTTCAAATTATTCCTTATTTGCCTTCAGCCATGCTTCGAACTTCGCTTATAAATACTGAAGAAATTTTAGATCTCTGGACGGGAAACATTCCCTACTATCAAAGAAGTCGACGAACTCTAACAGAACAGCGACCACAAAGAATCAATACAGGGCTAATCACGTTGAACCCACGCAACGTAAGGCGACCGAATATAAAACAGAATCGAAGGAGATTACTTTATTACTCAGCTGAGCCAAATAAAGGCAAAGGATTTATTAAAGAGCTTTGCTTTAGCAGTGATGGGCGTCTTATTTGTTCGCCATATGGAAACGGCATCAGACTTTTATCATTCTCAAAAGATTGTCAAGAACTATCATACGCTTTACCTCCAAATGGTGTTCCTCAAAGACTAAATGAAATCCTCGTTAATACCGAATATCATTCAGACATTGTTGTGTCGACAAAGTTTAGTCCACGGGCGCCAATTTGTGTTTCGGGGTGTTTACATGGTGACTTGGTTTGGTATCAGCCGATTTAAATCTCGTTTTCTTTTATCAATCATTAATTAATTATTCTTAAATACTGTACTTAAAATAAGTTTCATTGTTTGATTCTCATGCTTAAATGTGCTACAAAGATTGATATAAATACGGAAGAACTTTGAATAATAAAACTTTTGAAGGAAAACAAGAAATTTTATTTTATTTTACATATTTAATTAGGTATTTCAGATTCTGAAATGTGTTGAATCAGATGAAATTATTTATTTACTTTGCAGAAACTTTTATTTTATTCGATGCAGCAATAAATTGACTTTACTGATAAATTCTGAAAAACTAATGAATTCAAGTATCTAATCATCTGCAGATCCTCTGAAAAATTCTAAAGTAAAAGAATTAAAATTTAATTTTCGGTAATTATTATCATTTTTATTTCATCTCATATAGAGTCATTAGATATTCGCTTTCATCTATTCCAAATATAATAATGCAATAAACTACAAATATCTCAAAAAAATACCACTTTTTGATAGTAAGTATCATATCAATTTCTTATTAATTTGTCAATTTGAAGAAAAAACTTTATTTAAAATCGTTAATTTTGAGTAATTTTCAATTGAATTCTCGCTACAATAATTTTTTATGTTCACGAAAATGTGAGCTGAATTTAGATATGATTTATATATGCTTTAAACCGTTTGTCATTTATGGAGAGGAAGGGCAATAAATTTGAGCGAATATTATCAATATAAGTTAGTCAATCATGATTCATCCAAAACAGAAAAAACTATTCATTTGAATAGATGGTAGTAGATATTAGAAGAAGATTTTGAAATGACTGACATTGTTAGGCACTAATTTACAAATTTTCTTGTTGAAACAAAAAATATATAAATTAAATTAGTATGTTAAGTTTTAGTTCTAGTTCTCATCAATAAACTCAATTATAGTAAATGGTAAAATTTTCGCAGTCAAAGATGAGAATTGATTAAAAATAAAATTCTACTGAAAATTATTCTCTTTTGTGTTATCAATATTTGGCACTAAATAATTTTTATTTCTCTACTTGTAAACTGTTTTGACCTTTTCTGTCAGCTTGTTAAGAATCATAATTAAATATTTAATGATAATAATAATAATAATAATAATTTTTCCCGCACCATGCAACATAAGTAGTTTATAAAAAAATTAAAAAAACTTTAAGTTTCATCTCTTTTGGGTTAAAAGAACAAAATCGACTAAAATTATTTACTTTTCACTATATTGATCGGTTATTTTGTGACTATTATGATTCTTATATATTTTTTTTGATTGAATGAAATTTAAAAATTTAGTCAAATGATTAAAAATTAATTAATTGATCACTTGTGCACAATCCTCAAAACAAGTAACTTCTTAGTCAGACCATTCACCATCATCTGAATTTTGATTATCAGATTCAGATGACGATGAACCACCATTAATAGCTGCTTTTCTCAACTCGAGTGCTCTTCTCAGAGCATCTGCAAGTGCATCCGTTCCAGCACCATCACCACTTGATCGATTAGCTGTAGGACGATCACTAACCGGACGAAGTTCAACACCACTTCGAATTTCTGACAATAAATCATTTCTTGAATCACCACTACTATTTGATGCTGTTGATGAAACTTCTACTTTCTTAAGTTGAGCTCCTTTTCTAATGCTATCCATTAGAGCACTGCGAGTGTCTGGAATGACTGGCAATTTTGGTCCCGTTGGTTCTGTGTTCATGATTGGAGCAGGAGGTGGCGGAGGCTTAAATAAAAAAAATTTGGATGAAATGAAATATAAGAATATTTGATAGTTCTTGCTCACCATCATTGGAGGAGGCGGAGGTGGCGGAATATTTGCATTTGACTGTTGTTGAACTGGTGGTGGACGACTTGGCTGACTTCTTACTGGGGGTGTCGTGTTGGGTAAAGGAGGTGCCGGTTGTCTCTCCCTAGAAGGTCGTTCTCTCTCTGTAAAATCTTTTGGAGGTGGAGGCGGTGGAGGTGCGACTCGATGAATTGGCTTTTCGCCACCATTCTGATTCTATAAAAAAAATGATGTCAACAATGAATGAAAAAATATCGAATTATGTCATTGATCTCAACAAACCTGATTGCGTGTTGGCACTGGAGGTGCTGCTGGTTTCGTTTTTGTTTCTTTCCTTACAATTTCTTCAACATTGTTCGATTGAATGAAATCATAAATGAAATCTCTTGTACGTCGATCTTTCAATTGATTCTCCGATACTCCAGCTTTTTGTAAAAATGGACGCAATGCTTCATCTTCACCTGATAGATCAAATCCACTTTTCGCATTCCAGCCAACATGTGTAACATGTTTAAAGTTGGATGGCGTCCCAATGTCTGCCTTTGTAAGTTTAGGACGACCATCACGTCTTTTATTTCTGGAGTTGTTTAAGTAAGGTTGGGGTTGCTGTTGATATGGAACGTGAGTTTGCGGTGGCGCAAGTTTTGCTGGAACGAAAAAAAAAAAATAACTTAAATGTCTTAATCCAAGTTAAGAGTCAACTTACTTATTCCTACTGGATTCCTTAATGTCACTGAAGGATCATCACTTGTTTTATTGCTGTTATTTACATTATTTGTTATTGGAGGTGGCCGTGCTGGAGGATCTTTCCTTATGCGATTTCGACGTTCTGTAACGAATAAATATTTATTACTAATTTCACCATCACAGAAATGTTTTATATTTCTTCTATCGCAGACTAACATTTCAAAGTTTTTATTTGCATTTTAAATTTTAAATGTAAAATCAACACGATGTTCGTTTTAGGCGAAAAGCAAATACTGGAAATCAGTGACAATAAATGAATGTCTCGTTTCTGTTTTTGCTTACGAAAGAAGATTTCTGATTCCTTCAAGGCTTTTGTGCTTATTCATTACCAACGGCAAACGATGACTCACTTTTTACTTCTTAAATTAAATTAATATTCAACAATATGTTACATCTGGTGAAGTTAGTCAATAATTTGCATCATAAACTTGTGACGTCATTTTACGGAAGTTTGAAAAGAAAATAAGTGTCAATGTTTGTAAGTTGATTAAACTTGATTGATAATGCGTGACATTGTCGATATCTAATTGAATCAATTTTTTATTATTCTGTTTATGTTACTGAGCTGATGAAAACAAATGAGGAATTTATGACGAAAAAATTTTAAGTTTATAAGTCAATAATTCATGATTCTTAAAATAACTCAGAAAAGATTTGATAAATGAAAATTTTAAGTAGGTATTCACTTGCTGTTGTTTAAAAGAAAAAAAAAAGAATTTTAAAGAATTCGACAGAAACTTCTGTCATTATCAAATTTTTATCGCAACGTTTTCTTATCATTGATAATATTTTTCATGATAATTATTTTACTTTGTTCATTCAATCCCTCGGATTTTCTGTTTTCTATTTTAATTAAAAGAAGATTTTATCGGATGTTGCTGACGACATGTTTAGCCATAACTGACAATAAAAAAATGTCATTACTCAATAAGGAAAAACTTTTTTCCATCAACACAGAAAGAGAAAACATAAATCAATTGCTAGCTTGTTTCATTACTTCATTATAATGTCGCATTCTGATAGTTACCGCAACAAATGCAAGTGAATAGCCAGCTTTTGATTTCATTTATTTGTTACTCATCGCCACTGTTCATCAAACAGATAAAGGCGTGGGTTGGACGAACGAAAAAAAAAAAGAATCTTCATTGAATATTTATATTAACACTTCCATAATGAAAGCCAATGTCGAAATTATAATCCAGAAAAAAATATGGCCATGTGTTGATAAAAAAATTGAAACGAATCTATTTCTTACCTTCACGCCGACGATTCCGACTTGCGACGGTCGTTTTCGCACAATGCAAAAATGTTTCAGCTTCTTCTTCAAATGCGAAATTTAATGCCACTATACCGTCCTAGAAAGAAGTAAGAAAAGCATTGTGGTCAAATGATGATGACTAATTGAGAATTTAAATAAGATTTAGGTCGCAATGTGTTGCGCATATTTGCAATGATTTCAATTATTCACAACTTGACTTAAACCTTGATTCTGATTTGAAATTTAAAAGTTTACAATATCTTTTTGAATCATAATTAATCTGATTTAATCAGTCTCAGAATGAAAACAGTTTTCTCAAAGAGAAGCATGAACAACAATGTAAATGACTTCATTCAATCATTTTATGCAAATATTCACGTTTCGTGGCATTACCTGGCCTTCAAAAGTGAGTAAGTAGGGTCGAGTATGGCTTATGTCGATTGTGTCATACATCTCTTGTTCCCACACCATTTCATGGCGCATTAGACAAAACATACGACAGTAGTAAGATCGTTTCACGTTGTCCTTTATAAAACATAATGCGCCTGTAAATTTCTTGATCCATCGTGAATGCGTTGGTGTTTCCGTTTGATAAAGTTGTGCAACTGTTGTGCACTGACTAACGCAACGACGCCCAACAAGTCGAAAGACTAACTCATTTTCCTCTCCCGATAGATAATTGCTCGACTTTGACACTTTCGTTGAATTTCGATTGTCAGTGTTATTTATCGACATTGATAACAGGTTGATTTTTGTTTTATCTCAAACTTATTTCAAATTAGCTATATTTATTGCATTTAATTGCTTATACAATTTACGACTTCTGACTTCTTCTTGGTTTTTTTGGATGATCACCAAGTTTTTTAAAACACACGGCAAAAAAATTATTTGTTAAAGATTGGTAACAACAACAAAAAAAATTATTGAAGTCGAACAAAAACTTAAACAACTTTATAAAAATTTAAAACAATTGAACTTTATGATTTGTAATTTGATGTGATTCAATTCACAATTATTCTTTTATTCATTTAACTTATTTAACACTCTCCCGAGTTTTCTCATGCGTTTTTGAATTCACTTTTTATTTCCTTCTGCGTTGATCATCATTCATAATTTTGCCTCATTTCGTGGCCTTATTACTTTAACAATTCGATAGCCAACTGACTGAATCATCATTTGCTTTATGAGTGATGGTATGGAGTTAGTTGCTGGCTAAAGTTGGTTTGCGATAGCAAATTCTTTGTCTTATCAGTACTAAGCCCATTTCATTTTTTTATTTTTCGCCCCCCTTATTAATCACTCTTTTCACGACCACGAATTTTTTTCTGATCCAATTTTCTTAATAACGATTATAGTTTTTTCACTTTGCTTATTAATCTAAGCTAGATGAATGTTCAATCTACTGCATTTCATTGTAATTGAAATTTTAAATACATTCTATCCATGAATTCTTGACGAAATTTAAAGAGTGAAAATTTAATTTTAAGTTTTATTTTGAACTTCGAGAATTGAACTTTAAGTTCGAATATCTTGTAAAACAAAAGCAGTTGAAAGCGCTTTTTCGTTACGCGTACACAAGTTTGAAACTTTTCAGTTAAATTTCTCGTAAAAACTAAAAAGTTTCATTTCAAATCAAAAAATTTATTAAGTGGAATTTCAGAAATAGATAAAGAAAAATTTAAATCCAAGCAGTAAATTTATACATGATCGGACGATTAATCGCCAACATGACATATTACATAATATTATTCAGTATTTAGTTAGCAATTCAAAAAATAAAATATCGTTTTTTATCACTAAAAAGTCTGTAGCTACTTGTGACTACGGAAGAAATGAAATCATGAGACTGCAAAAACTAATTCCATAAAACAAGAAAATTCCAATTCCATGATACAGCAGACATTTGAAGTATTCGATTAATCACACAGTTCCATCTGGAATCCATCAGGTAATTACCAGCTAATTTGATGGGCTATGTAGATTAAGCCTTTATGAACTACGCGAAAGTAACGTGATACAGTTACTTAGCTTTGCTTTTTTTGATGAACATGCTTTTATTCTCATCTTCATTATGATTCTACATCAACATTTCAGGTGTGCTTAATTTACTTTCCACGTGAATTAAATTTTGAAACAAAATGCTTTAAGAAATTGCAGAAGAAAGAGAAATCTCGTGGGCCATATTATGTTAATTGTTTCTCTATTTTCGCGGGAAGCAGGCTGCGAGAACATAGTGCGGATAGGTGATATAATATTTAAAAAAAGTTAAAATATCATCAACTCTTATTCTTTTATAAAATTTCTTTTTAAAATAGACTTGGTTTTTTTTTCTTTTCGGAATGTAAAATTATTTGATCGAGACGCAAAACACATGAAAAGATTTTCTCCTGCAGTATAAATAGAAATTTTACTTCAGTAGAAAAGTTCTTTTTTGTCTTATCATAATTAATGTTTTGAGAAGCTAAAAATATCATGGAAGCTTCTTTAAATGATGTGCTGATCAGGTTTTAAATAGCTTTAATTGTTATCAATATTCATTATGAAATATTATCTCATGACGTTGAAATTTATATCGATTATAGACTGTAGGATGGTTATTTATAAGATAATGCGGATGAGACCTTTTTAAAGATTCTCTATTTTAGATGAATTCTTTCAAAACAACTTAATTGATGTGATATTTCAATGTCTATGAAAAGAAAAATTAAAACAGCTTTTAACACTTACAAACATTAATTTTCTTAACATTTAAATTTACGTCTAGAAAAAAACTTGTTAACAGGAGAATCTGAAAGATTCACCTCGACAACTGGTTCCCAAATTGATCTCCAGACAAAATGTTTTGACTAGATAGTTATTCATTTCTTTTCTGTTAAGTTTCTTTCGCTATATTAAATACTTATGCAAATTACTTTTAACATTTATATAAATATATAAAATTCTTATAATATTTTTTTTTTATTATCTCGGGGTTGATAACGGGTAACGATAAACGTCTATTGATTTACGTATGTCCTACTTTGTTTAAATAAGTTAAAATAAGGAATCTTTTGAATCTTATTGATATAACATTGCCATTTATATTTCTTATACAAGAAAAACGGAGTTTTGCGTGTGCCATGAATGCGAGATCGCTGGAAGGGTTTGTATCTGCTAACTGAGAGGTACTTCACACAACAATTTCAAATGTTGCGTAGATATAACTTTTCGAATTATTTTTAGAATCTTAAACAGTTGTTTCGAGGAAAATTTGCTCTGCTACATTTTCATCATTTGCAGCGTCTCCACCTGTTGCTTCTTCATTTTCGCCTTGTTCGGAGTCAACAGACTCGCTAATGCTTGATTCATGCTTGAATCTAATATAGCGAGATTTTGATTGTTCCACAATATTTTCACATTCTGTCATCAGATCTTGGAATATTGTCAAATCAATTTGAGTTTTCCATATTTGCTGTTCTATAAATGCATCTGTTGGATAAAAGAGAATTCGAATAGAAAATAAGAGTGAAACATATATAAACAGATATCTGTTTCAATGACCTCATTATATCACCACAAAACCATCAATTCATTGTTTACAGCATTTTCAACAACTACAAACGATCTCACTCTCATAAACATGCTCAAAAAATCAAACCATAATAAATAAATGAGTGGCTTCTGAAATGAATGAATGATTCTTTATTCAAATTTCATTGCCTGAAAATCATAAGAAAAATAAAACAAAAGAGTTTAAAATAATAATCGAGAAAAATTATATTCTGAATAAAATCATAAGAAAAAAAAATCCATTAAAATTAGAAATTAAAAGAGAGAAATTCTCTAAAACACATGCTGATGTGATAATAACAATAAATTTCCTGCTTTTCTCATAAACTTGAAAGATTTAAATTGAAATAAAATTCAGTTCTGATAGTTTGACACAGAAAATTAAACTTTGGATATCTATTACTTTAATTGAACAACATCTGCACATTTTTATAATAAAATAATTTTTTTCTTTGTTATGCTACACGACAAAAATAAAATTAAATTAAAATCATTCATTTCAGTTTAAATCTCTGATTTCTATAATGTAACGAAGAAATTCATATTTTCATATTATAAATTACCTAATAATTAATCAAACATTGCTGCGTAAAATCATTAGAAAGCACATAACAAAAAGAACTTAAAATGACTTAGCAAATAAAAGCATAATGATTGTAATTATTTAACTACTTAAATAAAAGTCTTATCAATAAGTCTTTCCGAACAATAAACATCCATTTAATGAAACTTATGACTAATCAAAATCAAATCATAAAGAAGCTTTGAGCTTTCATTATTCGTTAAAGTAAAATTCTTTTCAAATCAAATTGAAAAATTCAATTAAGTTGTAATGAGCGTGAAGAAATTAACAGTGAAATGAAATTAAATTTCATTCGCACAAATCTATCATAAAAACTTATAAAATAACACATGAACAACGTAAGCAACATTTTGATTTCTTTAAAGACTTTTTATCGCCAATGTCAGTGCCATCATGATCGCTGCCACCTTTTCTCCCGAAATCATGCATAATTAGTTGTGATTCACGACGGAGAATCTCCAATCTCGTTGTTAATTGACTAGGCGATACCGTATGCGTCATGTTGATATGATTTTGAATAATTCCAATTTTATTCTCATCATGATCATCTTTCAATTCACTAAATGATGCAATATCACTGATATGCTTATTAGCATCGCAAATATTTTTAAGAAGAATATCATCGCAATCAGAATTCTCATTAATAATCGGAAATTGTGTTTCTTCTATCTCAGGCAGAGGCGAATGAGATTCAATGCTTTCTGGTGTGTAAGGATCTTGAAGTTTCTTTAACTGAGAAATGTTACTTGTGTATGTGCTCGACAAAAATTGTGAATCTATACGATTAACGACAATATCATCACCAAGCATCGTTCTCTTCGAAACCAATGTACGACGTTCATGAGGTTGTTGTTTTATTTTATTTCGACACTTTCCACAGATTTTATCACCTTTTGACTTCTCATATAAAGCTGCATAATCTTCAAGTGAATGGCACATGCAAACGTTTAAATTGTCAGCATCGATGACACTTATACTGACTAATGGCGATATTGAAGAAGATTGTGATTTAAGTGGCAGCGATGATGGTACTGATAAATTATCACTAAACTTTTCTGTGATTACATTTAAATGCTTTAAACAACTGACACAAATATTTGATTGCTTTAAGCATGGATTTTTGACTAAATTCTCTTTTTCGGATATTTCATCAACAGCATTTGTGTGTTCACAACTATTGACTATACCTTGATTGGATTTCATTCGGAATTTCAAGAAAACAGGCTGTAAAATGAAAACATATTAATAAAAGTTCTTAGGACCATAAGAAAACAAATTCCTAATCTTACTTTGTGATCTCCCATGCAAGTATCTTGTCCTATGATTCCATATTGTTGGTTGTCTTCTTCATTCTCAATCAATTTTTTTGCTGCTTTGCTCATTAGTATGCGATCACACCAAGCTGGACATCTGCAAGTGTTAAGAAGTCAAGGTCACGTCCTTGAACTCTCTTACAATTATTTTACAAACCTTGTTGACATGTAGTGATGTGGCATGTCAGGATGTTCTTCATAAGGATAACTTGGTGCAAAGGTAATTGGAAATTCCCATAAAATCTCACGTATAGGTTCAAGTTCACGGTCAAATTGACGTAGCCACTCTTGCTTAAACACTGTATAGTCAACATGCGTAAATTCTTTTTTACCAACTGTTAGTTTCACACATCCATCAGCATCACGAAATTGCACCTTTGAATGATCCGCCTTCAAGTGCGGAATTCTTTGTTCAATCAGATCCATCGTTAGTTTCTAAGAATGAATTAACTAAATTTACTTTGTCCACGTATTAGAAAATGTTGTTGAACTCACTTTGACTACACCTTCTGTATCACAGCGAAAATTGAAATCACCAAATATGAAGAACGGAACCAAAACATTTTTCTGATCTTTATGAAAGCGTTCGAGAGTATGTAGCAAAGCTCTTCGACGACTTTTACAATAAACTGATGGAAATTGTTCACATGCTGCTAAATTGCTTGCATCATGAAACAAATGAATATTGATTAAGTCAAATGTTGTTCCATCAACGTTCCACCTCGTCCTCAAAAAGCCTTTCCGACTCCATTTACATTCGGGAAAGAATTGTTGTGGGAACTTAGCTTTCTCTTTCGTGGGCACCGTTTCAATGCTTCCCGTGTGAATTGTTTTACCATCAACACTTTCAAACTCATACGTCAAGAAATTCCATATTCTAACGTTATTTATGGAATCGTGGATGAAATACAAGTTTCCCAGTGCCTGCGTAATAGAACGTGAGTTGAAGTAAAATAGTAAACAAGATTAGAAGAAGATTGTCATAAATATGTGTGTAGAAAATGACTTTTCCCATCTAACACCAAAGTTCAAATTGAATCATTTAAAAAGAAACTTTTTCTTGTGTGGTTGAAACAAAAATTAATTTGCAATTTTTTTTCTTTCCTTTTTTTGATGCTAAGCATTGAACGTCCAAAAATAATTTCTTTTTTTTTGTTATAAGTTTTAGATTGAAGTTATTTTTGGCATGTACATATTAAAATTGTTTAGTTCGGCAGCAAACACATGTGTAAACACGTTTTGATAATGGAATTGGAATAAGTAGACGAATTGTGCAATTAATTGTTTTATTATTTTGACACTCAACTCGATATCGTTTGTCATTGATTTAAATGTTTTCGTAAAGAGAATTAAGAGGTTTTTGATATTTCGCTACTTTCCGGGTGGTGCGACAAGTGTATATGAATGATAATAATTTCATTAACACATTCCACTTTGATGACGCAAATCGACAGACCCATATTTTTTTACAAAATGATGTTTTCACTTCATGGAGCGAGAAGGAAGAAAAAAAACACATTTTTGTTTTAAAAACTCACTGTAAAGTGCTCCGCAGAATTGTAATCTTCATCAAGAAACACTCGTATTTTGTTGTATTCGACGAGGTCTTCAGACTCACATAGAACCTTGATGAACTCTTGCACATATTCCATTGACTTTTCATACGTTTTGCCTCCGACCTCTTGAAGATGGACAGCTATGAATTTGGGTTTAGTTAATTTCACATGAGACAAAAATTCAGAGACCCAATTTCCCAGCAATCGTGAAGGCTTTAAATGGTATCAAAAATAAAATAAAGTTAATTTATTTATTGTTTTGGTTCAGCGATAAAAAGTTTATTTCAATTCAGTGTCAACATTCCCGTTTAGTGATAAATTAATCACTCACATTGATGAATGTTCACCCACTAACGGGGTTTTTCTTTTCTTTTTTCTTTTCATGATCTATTTCTGATTTTTTTTTGCTTGCTTTTTGTATATTCAGCATTTCAATGCGTTCGCTGTTGCACTTCAACTTCCACATTTACGTACAACTAATTTCAATGAAAGTTATCTTTGGTTGGCACAACAACGTTGCAAACGTTAAACGAAGAAAAATAATAATAATAAATAAATAAAAGTATTGAGGGCAGTGGATTACTTGAATAATAAAGAAAAATAGAAAGGAAACTTTTACTCTTATGATACAAGTTTTTCAACTTACATCCTCAAAAACACTTCCACAATTTGCTGTAATGAGAAGGCAATCGATTCCTTTTGACTCCATTGCGTGAGATTATTTCTAGAGAGATTTCTTGTTTGTTTGTTTGCCTGATAGTTAAAGGTTTCTTCTTTTTTTTTAAGTTTTACTTAGTGAAATTCTTGATCCTGACATATTCCGTAAATTGAGATCGAATTGTGAAAATTTTCACGTTATCTTCTTAACCCAACGTGACACTAATCTAAGAAGACTTAAGTGGAGACAGAATCACTCGATTTATTCTACTAATTCATACTAAAATAATTTTTTTTCCTCTTGATATGAAAAACTTTGTCGTTGGCTATGAAGAGAGAAGAGTGAGCAACTGATGCGCATAACTTCACATAAGTATAAATTGTGTATTCGAAGTCACTCACGTCAAGATGTTTCATGATAAATATTGATTAATGAAAAGGAATTCCAGTTCGTATTAATAATCATCTTTTATGTTTTAAAGTTTGTAAATTATTAAATATATGAAGTTAAAAAATCATATCAAATTTGTATAAATTTTTCAATTTTCGACTAAACATTTTCCGATGGATTTGAAATAATTTTTTTTTGTATACAAAAATATTTTCTTCCTATATTGAAACGCAAAACTTTGAAAAATAAGTTTTTAGTACTTTATCAACTTAGTTTATAAGTTTTTAAAAGATTGCACTATTCGTTTACATAATAAGCGATAGCTGAACATGGAAACAAGGAGTCGGACAACGAAATTGATTGTGAAAAATGTGGAGATGCTGGAGTCTTCAAAATTTGACAAGTTTGATAAAGTGTCTCAATGGCTCGATAAACTTGATACATTTGAATATCACCAGCACCAAAAAAATCCACAAATTGGTGGTACTGCTAATCAACAGAACACCTCTTCACGTATAAGTCAGGAAAAGAACGATGATTTCTTCGATTCTGACTCGTCAGTCAACACAGGCAAGCGTCAAATAAAATACATAAATCTGAAAAAAAATTTGCGGTGACATTTTTTTAACTCCCTTTTATTTCTTTTTCTTCTTCTTATTCCAGCTCGTTATATTTTGACGAATCGAAAAAACAAACGAAAATCATCGACTCAATGTCGATCCAAAATTAAGAAGTTTAGAGAGAACGATGTGCAATTTGAATACGATTTGGATGAGTTAGAAAGTCCCGGCCATAAACTAAAAAGATTGAAAATCGATTCCAACACAAATATTAAATATTGTTCGGTACCAGTTCAGAAAATGAATGCAAATGAATTAAATTTCAATGGAACTTAAAACATATAATAAATAAAATTACGTGCTTTAACATTAAGAATGAATTAAGTCAAGATAAACAGGCCTTCAGTTTTGAACTTCGAGAAGAAATTATTATACACATGAAACTGATTTTTAGCCCATTGAATCACGGTGGTTATCGTCATCTTAATACTGAATATTCTAAAATCATGAGACAAAAGATGATGAAGTTTAGTCAAACTCATGACCAGACTTGAACGTTCTTTCCAATTAGACTTCGAAGCTCCCAGACATTTCCCAGTGTCGTTTTCTCGACACATGATGTGTGCGTGTCAAGACTTGTTGTTCTTTAATTTGGAGCTAAATCTTTTATTCTTTCGTTCAACATTATTGAAAAGACAAGAATGTAGGATTGTCAACAATCATTAGATATTTCTAATACCCAATCAACATTTATATCTTTAGAAGTTGCAAAATTCTTTATTGATGTTTTAAAGTCACATTGCATTCCTCTGATATTAAATTTAATTTTCAAATGTTCGTTCTCTTTAGGAGTTTAATATTAAACTGAAATTATTTTTATGTCTCAAGTCAAACATATGATATATCTCATAAATGATGGATCGGTATCTTCTTCCTTTTTGGCGATTTCTTGAAGTGAAATATTTCTGAGCTAAATTACAAAATGTTTTAATTATTATTTTCACTATTTTAAAACTATAGTTAATTTGTAACTTTATTCTTTTTATTGAGTTATTGTTTGTCGTATATTTCCAATGATTTTCTTTCAATTCATCCAGAAATAAAATAAAAATGTTTGAACATATTACATTCTCATCAATAAATATTTTTATTTTACACCTTTCCATGAAAGTATTTTCGTATTTTCATCCGAAGATCTTAGAGGGCAGCACTTTAGAACATTGAAAGCATTGATACGATGTTTTATGATGTTTTATGATTGAATGTTGTCACTGCGATCGCTGCATGCAAGCTTCAATGTTTTGAGATTGTTTACACGTTCAGTGAGTTTTTGGATTTCAAAGAAGCAACACGTTTGTCCACACATTTATTCAATTTATTTTATTTTAAATTGAAAGATCAATGGAAAGATAGTTTTATATAGTCACTACGCTCATTATTTATTATCTCTGCTTTCAATTTTAATTCATCGTCTGTTTGCATGAAACTTGCACTTCAATTAAACCACAAGAACCATCAGTTTTGCGGAAGAAAGATATCGAGTTTATTTGGTATTTGGTCGAGCTGTAGAAGCAAAAATTCGAAACGAAACAAGAATTGAAAGAATAAATGTAAATAAATTGTTGTTGCTGTGGCAGTGCCTGATGTTGATGTTGTTTCTTATGGATCGTTTAAGAGAAAGAAAAACTGGCAAATTCCAGTCATGTGTGTGAATGAAGAAAAGAAATGGAACAACAATAGAAACAAACGAGAACTAAAGTAAGCAGATAAAATTGGGTCTTTTGTGATTAATTAAGAACACAAGTGGAGTTGAATGAAAGTGTAAAGAGTCGCAAACATAAAACATTAATAAAAGCAACAACAAAGACACAAAATTATTTCTGAACGATTTAATTTTAGAAGAAAAAAACAATAAGAAAAGAAATTTGTGCTAATAAAGTCGAATGTCGAGTGAATGAGTTCGTCGTTGTGACTCTTGAAGTAATTAATAAACAACGCAGACAGCTAGGAAAACTGAAACCACGAAGAAAACATGAGAACTCATAAAGATATGAATTAAGTTTACAATTGGAAGCATAAAGACATTCATTCAGTGATCATCGTACAACAAAAAAGTTTCGTGAGATAAACCCAAAATGTGAAAATTGAATCAATTAATTAAAAGAATTAAAAGACTTGCTTCGGAACTTGTTGTTGAATTAGACAATTAAAAGTTTTTGATGATTTAAGTGTTTTCAACTCCTTGATTGAGCTCAAGTATTGCATTAGCAAACAAAGTTTGAGAAATTAAATGAACACACTCAAAAAACAATAAGCACGAGCAAAAGAAAAGCCATTTTTTATTTGAAAATGTTAAGAAACTAACAACAAACATGAAAAAACATTTGCTAGTCAATTATCGGCATTTACAATTCCACTTGTTATTAATGCAATTATTATCAGTAACTACATCAAACTTCAATGGTAACAACATTGTAGAAACAATTGAAAATTCAACGCAATCTTGGAATAAATTAGCAGGTAAAATTTAATTTGCATTTTAGTTAAATCAACACAACTTTTCGCTTACATAATTTATTGGAAAACTTAATTATCTGTCACTTTGATTTAGCTTCCTAGAAATTGTTTGCGATGTAATTTCTTGATATAAAACTGACACGATCAACCCAACAAGGCAAACAAGATATCGTTATAATTCGAGACAAGTCGTAACTAATAAATAGCAAACGTGATCTTTCTGTCTAACAATGATTTCTTGATTGATCATCTCAAGCTAATGATAATTGATGTCTTTATATTATTTATCCATAATAAAGTAAACGTTTTCTAATGTTAGTTAAGTAATAATGACATCCCTACATCAAACAGATATTTCAAGTAATGATCTATGAATTGCAGTGTTAGAACTTAATTTGCACTAACTAATCTTGTTTATTTAACTAAAAACTTCCTTTTATGGATTCAAATTTAATTTGTTCATTACCTAAACGGAACGATTGATCTTTTGATTGTCCTCAAAATTCTTTTGAGTGCGATACAAATTGTTAATTCGGGTAGAATTCTGTATGAGGTATAAAAATAAATGATCGAGAATCTCATGACACCAACTTAAGTGACTCATGGAAAATATCGCAATGAGAACGAGTTGAAAACCTGCAAACAAACTTGCGTCGTTAGTTCACTTAATAATTCATTCAACGACATTTAGACAGCAATTTAAATGAAGCTGCGATTGAATTTTAATCTAACTCACAGGGAACTTTGAATTATTTCTGTAACTGTGTTCGTTTATTTTATCTCAACAATTATTAATCTTTGTGTCGACTTTTGCAGTTAAATAATACTTTTAATTAAAGTTCCATTTACGGAAAAAGAAGAAAAAGGGAAACAAAGAATATGTTTATCATTACAGTTGATGAGATGTGCATTGTGATGCATCAACACGAGATGATGAGCACAACAACTTTCCGACACATGTTCGATAAAAAACGAATAAATTTCTAAGTGTAAAAATCTACAAACGAGTTTTCTTCTTTCATGAATGAAATTTTCAGCACTTTGTGTGCTGTTGTCAATCTATTCGCATTCACCGTTGGTGTCCAACTGTCACAGAGAGTTATTGTCAATTAATCTAAGTAAACATCAGCATCGTGTTGGACATTATGTGGGCTCTGAACTGACAACTCGACAAAAACTGAGAGGAAACCTTAAAAGCTCTCATAAATCTTTTCTGATTGAAAACTTTTCAACCTTTTGTCAGGCGTTTTGTTGTGCATTAGCTTTGAATGATTCATTCATCATAAACAGTTTCATACACACACGTAAATAGGAGAACTTGTTGAATCAGCATCGTTTGTAAGGTCAACAATGTACAAAATTCATTGATAAATTAAATGTCAGCAACAAAACTTCTTTCTCACTTCGCCAAACTTCTCATTCGTTCTTCCAAATCTCCAGAAAATAGAAAAAAATAATCGTTGGCTTAATTAAATTATTACATCAGGTTCATTTCATGTCGAATTTATTTGACTTTGACCGTTTGCCATCAATTTTTCATGAATTCGGAATCTCCAAAGTTGATCTCGTCGTCGTCGGTGCATTGGATGAGATCAGAAAAATAAGTTTCAACTATCAAAACATTCAGACAGTAACAAAAATATTTGCCCACACATAATCATTGAAAAATGATTGGCAAAAGTTTTATTTCTCATTTTCTCATTCATCGATATATAAAAATATTCGCTTTGGAGTTTATGGAACAGGTTACAGTTTGATTATGCAAAATACGAGAATCGAATGTTGTTTTCATGATTAAAATCAGCTGATGATCGGACAAATAATTTAATTAATTATCTAAGAGAATTCTACGCACAACGAATCAGTCTCTGACCTGATTCTTGAATTATTCTCGCTATCATAAATCAGAAACCAGTTTTATCATTCACAAGTCAGAATTGCCGAAAAGTTCTCAACGATTCAACACAGAAACGTTTATAAATAACACGCAAACGCTCTCTCGTTTCCCTTCTCGGCGATAAGTTTTCTGCTTTAAATCTAATTAACCCACTTTCGTGATCCCCAACAGTAACAGCAATGGAGTGGTAATTGATCATCAACAATGATGTATTAAATAAACCTCTGAATTAGGAAACAGCGAAAGAATTTGTTTGCCATGTTTAACGTGCTAACGTGTGTGCAAAAAGTTTATTAAATTTATTTCTCATTTCTTTTCCCACAGATTGCAGTCAAGCAAATTGTCTACGATGCACCATCAATGGCTGTATAAAATGTTCAAAGTTCATCATGATGGATTCAAGAGAATGTGTTGATGAATGTCCGAAGAGTCACACACAGCAATGGTCAACGACCTCTGACTTGATGGGACGCGTTTGTTATCCAGCAAATGTCTCAAACTCCATTCAAACTGTCTTCGTAGGAATCATCTGTGGAGCTGTTCTTTGCTTCGTCATTGTCCTAGTGGGTGTGATGATGTTCAAACGGAAACATCAAAAGATGAACAAGAAATCAATCAAAGACCAGCTGATCGACGATGAATACGATCGACATGAGTTTATTCGTCAATTGGACGAGTTGAGACCACATTCCGAATGTTTCCTTCACATGTTGAATGACACGAGAAAACAAATACGGAAATTACATGTTGCTGGTGACAACACAGCTTCAGCAAAGTTTTATCCGATCGTAAGAGATCTCGCCAAGATTCTCATTCTTCTCAATCGACCTGTGGAATTAATCGACGGCCCACCTCATGATTGGAATCGTTTGTTGCTTTGGGCTGAACGAATATTGGCGCAATACAAGCCACAACAAATTGCCCAATTGATTGAGTTTCTTCAAACTCCCACATCGCCGTCATTCAACGATGTTGATTTCGATGATGATGATCGTTTTAGCAGTAAGCATACAACCTTCAAGAGTTTGTTCTATTCAACACCAACCACACATACGAGGAAAGCATTCGCTTCGACATTGCCGGCAACTGTCACCGGCTTAAACAATGCCAAAGATCTCTCAAAAAGAAGTTCAATTAGCAACGACATGAAACATCTTTCATTGCCAAATGATGGCGACACTTCTGAAAAGATTGCAACAGGAAGTTTAATTTCGCTTCATGATTTCGATGATGCATGTCCATCAACTGCAAATGCAACGTTGCAAAAGAAGCCCAAAAAGAAAAGTCCATTCGGTGAAAGTTTCGACCATGTCAAGAATTATTTATCAAGTGGAAGTCTTTGGATGGTTGAAGATGAATTTATAGAATTTAAATTGGGACTAAGGCCACAAGATGAAATCACTACAGAACTTTAACGAAGACATTGGATTATTTTTCAATATCATTCACAAGAATGCTGCAATAAGAAATGAAAAATTGTTCAAATACTCTTAGGAAGGTTCATCGCGATGATCTGAACAATGCTTTCGTGTGATGAGAGTTTTCTTTGAATTGATGATTCGAAAGTCTCAAATCGTATAATTTCATGGACGATAATTTTTATGATTTGTGGTCTTCGGTTTAGAAATTAATTGAATTAAACTCGACCTAAGTGCAAAGTAAAATTTAAAAGGAAAATACCTGCAATGGACATCAAGTTATAAATTACTAACTTCATTTTCAAGATAAGCAGCCAGAAACTCTCCACTCGGTGCCAAAATGAAGTGTGATGTGGAAAAAGATCAAAATGAAATGAAAATGAATAAACACAAAACGGAGAAAAAAAATTGAAAATAAACAGAACAAAAGATAAAATTTTAGTTTTCTTTATTTCTTTCATTTCTTTTTTTAATTTCCAGTCAGCGTCATTGAGAAAGTAAGTTGTGTGAGAACTCGAATAAGCTTTGGAATAATTTTTGAGCTAATGATATTAATTTCATGATGAAAGTATCTCCGGTTGAATAAGAATGCTGAAAAAATAAATCAAACAGACTTCTAATTATCTTTCATTCTTAAAAGCTAAAACCACACAAACCTTTAATTTCTTTCATTGTCGTTAAACATAATTCTTAATGCATTGACATAATCGTAAAAGTAAAACATCATAATTAAAGAAAAAGAACCGTTTCTTTTTTGAGAAAGTAAGAAATTGTTTCCGAGAATAAATGTAAACAGCAGTAAAAGTCGACACGACTTTTAAAGACAACTTAAGATTGCATCTTAGCGATCCCTTGATAATTTTTGGTTCTCGAAACTATTTAAAGCATTGAAGTGTTTTATGGCACTTCACACTCTCTTCTTTCTACCTACTTTTGGACCTGATGTTGATCTTGCCTTGGCAAATGTATACAAAGCAGACGTTTCTCCAATTCTTTGTTGTACTTACGTTCTCGATGTTCATGAATATTTCTACAACTAATTACGATGAATTGCTGTAACATATTATAATGTATTTGTGGATAATAAGAAAGCAAAACAAACCACTTTTATATAATTACATATTTGATGAATTTTATTATCTTAATCGTCTTGTAAATTTTTCAATTAAAAATAGATTTGTTGGTTGCTTCTTAATGACCTTGAACGTTTTATAGCACATTAATTTGATTGCTAGAGATCAGCACGATTATATGTACAAACAAATAATCCAATGTCTTCGTTAAAGTTCTGTAGTGATTTCATCTTGTGGCCTTAGTCCCAATTTAAATTCTATAAATTCATCTTCAACCATCCAAAGACTTCCACTTGATAAATAATTCTTGACATGGTCGAAACTTTCACCGAATGGACTTTTCTTTTTGGGCTTCTTTTGCAACGTTGCATTTGCAGTTGATGGACATGCATCATCGAAATCATGAAGCGAAATTAAACTTCCTGTTGCAATCTTTTCAGAAGTGTCGCCATCATTTGGCAATGAAAGATGTTTCATGTCGTTGCTAATTGAACTTCTTTTTGAGAGATCTTTGGCATTATTTAAGCCGGTGACAGTTGCCGGCAATGTCGAAGCGAATGCTTTCCTCGTATGTGTGGTTGGTGTTGAATAGAACAAACTCTTGAAGGTTGTATGCTTACTGCTAAAACGATCATCATCATCGAAACCAACATCGTTGAATGACGGCGATGTGGGAGTTTGAAGAAACTCAATCAATTGGGCAATTTGTTGTGGCTTGTATTGCGCCAATATTCGTTCAGCCCAAAGCAACAAACGATTCCAATCATGAGGTGGGCCGTCGATTAATTCCACAGGTCGATTGAGAAGAATGAGAATCTTGGCGAGATCTCTTACGATCGGATAAAACTTTGCTGAAGCTGTGTTGTCACCAGCAACATGTAATTTCCGTATTTGTTTTCTCGTGTCATTCAACATGTGAAGGAAACATTCGGAATGTGGTCTCAACTCGTCCAATTGACGAATAAACTCATGTCGATCGTATTCATCGTCGATCAGCTGGTCTTTGATTGATTTCTTGTTCATCTTTTGATGTTTCCGTTTGAACATCATCACACCCACTAGGACAATGACGAAGCAAAGAACAGCTCCACAGATGATTCCTACGAAGACAGTTTGAATGGAGTTTGAGACATTTGCTGGATAACAAACGCGTCCCATCAAGTCAGAGGTCGTTGACCATTGCTGTGTGTGACTCTTCGGACATTCATCAACACATTCTCTTGAATCCATCATGATGAACTTTGAACATTTTATACAGCCATTGATGGTGCATCGTAGACAATTTGCTTGACTGCAATCTGTGGGAAAAGAAATGAGAAATAAATTTAATAAACTTTTTGCACACACGTTAGCACGTTAAACATGGCAAACAACGAATAGTAAACAAATTCTTTCGCTGTTTCCTAATTCAGAGGTTTATTTAATACGTCATTGTTGATGATCAATTACCACTCCATTGCTGTTACTGTTGGGGATCACGAAAGTGGGTTAATTAGATTTAAAGCAGAAAACTTATCGCCGAGAAGGGAAACGAGAGAGCGTTTGCGTGTTATTTATAAACGTTTCTGTGTTGAATCGTTGAGAACTTTTCGACAATTCTGACTTGTGAATGATAAAACTGGTTTCTGATTTATGATAGCGAGAATAATTCAAGAATCAGGTCAGAGACTGATTCGTTGTGCGTAGAATTCTCTTAGATAATTAATTAAATTATTTGTCCGATCATCAGCTGATTTTAATCATGAAAACAACATTCGATTCTCGTATTTTGCATAATCAAACTGTAACCTGTTCCATAAACTCCAAAGCGAATATTTTTATATATCGATGAATGAGAAAATGAGAAATAAAACTTTTGCCAATCATTTTTCAATGATCATGTGTGGGCAAATATTTTTGTTACTGTCTGAATGTTTTGATAGTTGAAACTTATTTCTCTGATCTCATCCAATGCACCGACGACGACGAGATCAACTTTGGAGATTCTGAATTCATTACAAATTGATGGCAAACGGTCAAAGTCAAATAAATTCGACATGAAATGAACCTGATGTAATAATTTAATTAAGCCAACGATTATTTTTTTCTATTTTCTGGAGATTTGGAAGAACGAATGAGAAGTTTGGCGAAGTGAGAAAGAAGTTTTGTTGCTGACATTTAATTTATCAATGAATTTTGTACATTGTTGACCTTACAAACGATGCTGATTCAACAAGTTCTCCTATTTACGTGTGTGTATGAAACTGTTTATGATGAATGAATCATTCAAAGCTAATGCACAACAAAACGCCTGACAAAAGGTTGAAAAGTTTTCAATCAGAAAAGATTTATGAGAGCTTTTAAGGTTTCCTCTCAGTTTTTGTCGAGTTGTCAGTTCAGAGCCCACATAATGTCCAACACGATGCTGATGTTTACTTAGATTAATTGACAATAACTCTCTGTGACAGTTGGACACCAACGGTGAATGCGAATAGATTGACAACAGCACACAAAGTGCTGAAAATTTCATTCATGAAAGAAGAAAACTCGTTTGTAGATTTTTACACTTAGAAATTTATTCGTTTTTTATCGAACATGTGTCGGAAAGTTGTTGTGCTCATCAACTCGTGTTGATGCATCACGATGCACATCTCATTAACTGTTTCTTCTGACGCATTAAAATGTTTCTTCTTTTAATAGCTTTGTTCGGAAGTAAAACTGCTAACTAATCGTTTGTTTTCCTCTCATGTGGAAACTCAAACGAATACGGTGAAATCAGGGATCGGAAAAATCTTTGAAGATTGAAATAAAAATTGACCATTTATTAGAAATTCAATTAGAGCCGGAAATGTTAACAGATTCTAAACCTGCATTTATTGTATTTTGTTTATGTTCCAAATTGACGAAATTTCGTATAAAACCACGAGCAGAAAGTATTGAAAATAAAATTTAATTAATTTTTGTAAGGAGCATAATGTCATTAGTTTCAGTTGATGATGTTTTCTTATTCATACTGTTCTTAATAAAATACTCGTTTAGGAACGATAAAAAAATTAAACAGCAGCGCAAAGGTCAAAATTCTCGCTTGATCTTGTTAATTTGAATAAGAAAAAAAAAGCACAAACAATTAAAAGTTTGTGAACATTTTGCAGAATGTTTGGCGACATTTTCAAACTTACCTAAGGCTTGCTTATTCTCCTCGAAAGTTGTTGAACTTTGATACTTTACAACAATGTTGTTTTTGTCTTTTTCTTCAGCAGCAATCGCGATAAATTGAAGAAATATTAATTGCATCTGCAAACATTTGCTAATGATTGGCAAATGCTCTTCCATATTTTCATAATCCTTGTTGATAGTTTATAAGAAGATTCAAATATTTGCTTAACAAATTATTCTTGAAATGCTAAACTTTTCTGATTCAATTGCTTTTTCGTTTGCATGTGATCATCATCCATTCGACTAATGCACTCAATCCATAAACAACAATTCTCTTTCTTCCGAAACAAGTATTTTAATTCTTTTAATTAATTGATTCAATTTTCACATTTTGGGTTTATCTCACGAAACTTTTTTGTTGTACGATGATCACTGAATGAATGTCTTTATGCTTCCAATTGTAAACTTAATTCATATCTTTATGAGTTCTCATGTTTTCTTCGTGGTTTCAGTTTTCCTAGCTGTCTACGTTGTTTATTAATTACTTCAAGAGTCACAACGACGAACTCATTCACTCGACATTCGACTTTATTAGCACAAATTTCTTTTCTTATTGTTTTTTTCTTCTAAAATTAAATCGTTCAGAAATAATTTTGTGTCTTTGTTGTTGCTTTTATTAATGTTTTATGTTTGCGACTCTTTACACTTTCATTCAACTCTACTTGTGTTCTTAATTAATCACAAAAGANTAAAGCAGAAAATTTATCGCCGAGAAGGGAAACGAGAGAGCGTTTGCGTGTTATTTATAAACGTTTCTGTGTTGAATCGTTGAGAACTTTTCGGCAATTCTGACTTGTGAATGATAAAACTGGTTTCTGATTTATGATAGCGAGAATAATTCAAGAATCAGGTCAGAGACTGATTCGTTGTGCGTAGAATTCTCTTAGATAATTAATTAAATTATTTGTCCGATCATCAGCTGATTTTAATCATGAAAACAACATTCGATTCTCGTATTTTGCATAATCAAACTGTAACCTGTTCCATAAACTCCAAAGCGAATATTTTTATATATCGATGAATGAGAAAATGAGAAATAAAACTTTTGCCAATCATTTTTCAATGATCATGTGTGGGCAAATATTTTTGTTACTGTCTGAATGTTTTGATAGTTGAAACTTATTTTTCTGATCTCATCCAATGCACCGACGACGACGAGATCAACTTTGGAGATTCCGAATTCATGAAAAATTGATGGCAAACGGTCAAAGTCAAATAAATTCGACATGAAATGAACCTGATGTAATAATTTAATTAAGCCAACGATTATTTTTTTCTATTTTCTGGAGATTTGGAAGAACGAATGAGAAGTTTGGCGAAGTGAGAAAGAAGTTTTGTTGCTGACATTTAATTTATCAATGAATTTTGTACATTGTTGACCTTACAAACGATGCTGATTCAACAAGTTCTCCTATTTACGTGTGTGTATGAAACTGTTTATGATGAATGAATCATTCAAAGCTAATGCACAACAAAACGCCTGACAAAAGGTTGAAAAGTTTTCAATCAGAAAAGATTTATGAGAGCTTTTAAGGTTTCCTCTCAGTTTTTGTCGAGTTGTCAGTTCAGAGCCCACATAATGTCCAACACGATGCTGATGTTTACTTAGATTAATTGACAATAACTCTCTGTGACAGTTGGACACCAACGGTGAATGCGAATAGATTGACAACAGCACACAAAGTGCTGAAAATTTCATTCATGAAAGAAGAAAACTCGTTTGTAGATTTTTACACTTAGAAATTTATTCGTTTTTTATCGAACATGTGTCGGAAAGTTGTTGTGCTCATCATCTCGTGTTGATGCATCACAATGCACATCTCATCAACTGTAATGATAAACATATTCTTTGTTTCCCTTTTTCTTCTTTTTCCGTAAATGGAACTTTAATTAAAAGTATTATTTAACTGCAAAAGTCGACACAAAGATTAATAATTGTTGAGATAAAATAAACGAACACAGTTACAGAAATAATTCAAAGTTCCCTGTGAGTTAGTTTAAAATTCAATCGCAGCTTCATTTAAATTGCTGTCTAAATGTCGTTGAATGAATTATTAAGTGAACTAACGACGCAAGTTTGTTTGCAGGTTTTCAACTCGTTCTCATTGCGATATTTTCCATGAGTCACTTAAGTTGGTGTCATGAGATTCTCGATCATTTATTTTTATACCTCATACAGAATTCTACCCGAATTAACAATTTGTATCGCACTCAAAAGAATTTTGAGGACAATCAAAAGATCAATCGTTCCGTTTAGGTAATGAACAAATTAAATTTGAATCCATAAAAGGAAGTTTTTAGTTAAATAAACAAGATTAGTTAGTGCAAATTAAGTTCTAACACTGCAATTCATAGATCATTACTTGAAATATCTGTTTGATGTAGGGATGTCATTATTACTTAACTAACATTAGAAAACGTTTACTTTATTATGGATAAATAATATAAAGACATCAATTATCATTAGCTTGAGATGATCAATCAAGAAATCATTGTTAGACAGAAAGATCACGTTTGCTATTTATTAGTTACGACTTGTCTCGAATTATAACGATATCTTGTTTGCCTTGTTGGGTTGATCGTGTCAGTTTTATATCAAGAAATTACATCGCAAACAATTTCTAGGAAGCTAAATCAAAGTGACAGATAATTAAGTTTTCCAATAAATTATGTAAGCGAAAAGTTGTGTTGATTTAACTAAAATGCAAATTAAATTTTACCTGCTAATTTATTCCAAGATTGCGTTGAATTTTCAATTGTTTCTACAATGTTGTTACCATTGAAGTTTGATGTAGTTACTGATAATAATTGCATTAATAACAAGTGGAATTGTAAATGCCGATAATTGACTAGCAAATGTTTTTTCATGTTTGTTGTTAGTTTCTTAACATTTTCAAATAAAAAATGGCTTTTCTTTTGCTCGTGCTTATTGTTTTTTGAGTGTGTTCATTTAATTTCTCAAACTTTGTTTGCTAATGCAATACTTGAGCTCAATCAAGGAGTTGAAAACACTTAAATCATCAAAAACTTTTAATTGTCTAATTCAACAACAAGTTCCGAAGCAAGTCTTTTAATTCTTTTAATTAATTGATTCAATTTTCACATTTTGGGTTTATCTCACGAAACTTTTTTGTTGTACGATGATCACTGAATGAATGTCTTTATGCTTCCAATTGTAAACTTAATTCATATCTTTATGAGTTCTCATGTTTTCTTCGTGGTTTCAGTTTTCCTAGCTGTCTGCGTTGTTTATTAATTACTTCAAGAGTCACAACGACGAACTCATTCACTCGACATTCGACTTTATTAGCACAAATTTCTTTTCTTATTGTTTTTTTCTTCTAAAATTAAATCGTTCAGAAATAATTTTGTGTCTTTGTTGTTGCTTTTATTAATGTTTTATGTTTGCGACTCTTTACACTTTCATTCAACTCCACTTGTGTTCTTAATTAATCACAAAAGACCCAATTTTATCTGCTTACTTTAGTTCTCGTTTGTTTTCATTGTTGTTCCATTTCTTTTCTTCATTCACACACATGACTGGAATTTGCCAGTTTTTCTTTCTCTTAAACGATCCATAAGAAACAACATCAACATCAGGCACAGCAACAACAACAACAATTTATTTACATTTATTCTTTCATTTCTTGTTTCGTTTCGAATTTTTGCTTCTACAGCTCGACCAAATACCAAATAAACTCGATATCTTTCTTCCGCAAAACTGATGGTTCTTGTGGTTTAATTGAAATGAAGATTGTATTGCGCTATTCCAGTTAGCAATTTGAAAAGTTCAACAGAACACAACTTTTATAAATGTTATATTTATTTTAATGATCTTTTGAAACTATAAATAAATAAGGGTATTTATCTTTGCGTTATAAAATTGTCGAACGAACTAAGAAACAGAAAACCATGTTGCCACTTGAAAGACTCAAAACACTCTGATGTTCACTGAATAAAATCAATGTTCAACATAGTAATGAAACATTAAAGATCAAATGTAAACAAGCAAACATTGAACATTCATTTCAGTAGCCCAGAGTCAAATAATGTGAAAGCTTTGGATATGACCGAATTAATAAAAGGATTAAAAAATTATTAAGGCAGATTTTTGAAATATTTCTGGACTTCGAACACTTAATTTTTGTAATTAAAATCATTTAATGCAACAATAACCAAAGTTTTTATTCAATTTAAAAGATCATCATCTTATGCATAAACATTGATAACAATAGAATTTAAAATATCCTGAACGTTTATCTCAGTTTTTCAATGACCTAGGAATAATTTTGAATAACCTTCGGATTAGATCAAATAAAAATAACAAAAACCAAAATTACATTTTTTTTGAAGTTTATTAATTAAATCAAACATCAATTTAATGCATAAGAATTTCTGTTTGAATCAACCGAGCATTTGTGTCTCCAGGCATTCGGTAAGGAACCGTTGCTGCCATTACAGTGATGGCTTTAGCTTGTTCTCTCAAGAATCTTAACTTATCATTGGCATTGCCATCGCCGAATTTTGGTGAATCGCGATTCTTAAAACTGACGTATTTCTTGTAAATTATTTCCATGGCAGCAAGAAGAAGATCTGGAAGAATTTTACAAACTTCTCCACCAATTCTGAAAATAAAATATTTATATCAATTAATTAGCACTCTTGGGAAATCTCC